CCAAAAAATATGAATGGAGTGATAAATGACAAGTACAGGCTCATCATATTTTGTACATTTTAGATATGATTTATTCGGCAAACTTTCGAGCTGACGTCATCAAGTTTTTGGAGGGGATAAGCAAATATATTTTGACTAAACATTTATTATGCTCTTTATGACCTTAAAACATCTGCAAGATTTCAGAGCATTCGGTTTTGTAGTTCCTGATTAAATCAATAAAATATATTTACGCATTCATTAATTTTTTTGAGTCACCCTGTATATGCAAATCCAAAAAATATGAATGGAGTGATAGATCACAAGTACAGACTCATCATATTTTGTACATTTTAGATATGATTTATTCCACAAACTTTTGAGCTGACGTCATCAAGTTTTTGGAGGGGATAAGCAAATATTTTTTGACTAAAGATTTATGATGCTCTTTATAGCCTTAAAACATCTGCAACATTTCAAAGCATTCTGGTTAGCAGATTAAAAATTAAATTTCAAAATGTTGTTTCATAATTTTGATTTTTTTTCCAAAAATCTGGACGTTTCGGGTGAAAAGTCGATTCAGAGTTGTAAACTACATGTGTAGGACTATGTTATTTTATACAATTGATAACCCATTTACTATGTACAATTTTGAAGTGACGTCATCGCATTAGTGGTGGGGATGATTAGACAAATTTTGGTTAGCGTTTTACCATCTACATGATATTCTTAATATAAGTACAAAATTTCACAACAATCGGTCGAGTACTTTCGGAGATTATCTGTCTAATAAAAATCCGGGACAACAGACGGACAGACGGACAGACGGACAGACGGACGGACAGACGGACAGACAGACGGAAATGGGAGACCTATTTCTTCGTCTTCTAGGGGTCATGAAAGATCGAGAAAACGTAAAAGTAGAGAGTCGGCCGACGGACTCGATTACAATACTTCCTTTGCTTACGCTCGGGAAGTAATAAAAAATGAAGAATTGAAAAATTAAAAATTAGAAAAATCGAAAACTGAGAAATCGAAACATCTAAAGATCGAATCGAAATGGCCCAAAATCGAAAATTTCAAAATTGAAAAAATTGATGAAATCTATAAATCGAAATATTGGGTAATTGAACCATCGACAAATCGATACATGGAAATCTCGATATCGAAAATCTAGAACTTGAAAAATCGAAGTCTAAAAATTTTAAAAATCAAAAAACCGGAATGTTGAGAAATGGGATGTTCGAAGAACTCGAAAAACTGAAAAATAAAAAAAAAACGAGAAATCCAAAGATCAAAAAATTGAAAAATATGAAAATCGAAAAACTTAAAAGTCGAAAATCGAAATATCAAAAACTCGAGAAATCGAAATGGCTCAAAATGGAAAAAGTAAAAATTGAAAAACTGAAAATTTTAAATTGAAAAAAGAACGATAAATCGAAAAATCATAAAAACTGAAACATCCCAAAAATAAAATTTAGAAAACTTGGGAAATCAAAAAATTGAAAAATGAAAAATTCGAAAAATCGAAAACCGAGAAATGGAAATGACTCGAAATCGAAAATTTTAAAATTGAAAAATTAGGAAACTGAACGATCGACAAATCGAAACATCTAAATTTCGATATCGAAAATCTAGATCGAAAAATTTTAAAAATCGAAAAACCGAAATGAGAAATGGGAAATTCGAAAAATTTAAAAATGAAAAAAAAAACGAGAAATCCAAAAATCAAAAACAAAATTGCAAAATTGCAGAATCTAAAAATATAAAAATCGAAAAGCCTAAATATCGAAAATTCAAAAAATCCAAATATCAAAAGCTCGAAATCAAAAAGTTAAAAACAGGAAAAAATCGAAAATCGAGAAATATAAAAATTGAAAAGCCTAAAAGTCGAAAATCCAAAAACTTGAAAAACCAAACATAAAAAGATCGAAAATTGAAAAACCGAAAAATCGTAAAATTTGAAAACTGAAGAATTGAAAAAAGTAAAATTTAAAAACTGAAATATCTAAAAACTGAAAAATCAAAAAACGAGAAATCGATATTCTAAAATTTAAACAGTAGGAAAATTAAAATATCAAAAAGTTGAATCCAAAAATTGAAAAACCCCAAAACTCAAATATCGAAAAATTGCAAAATCGAGAAATCAAAAACCCAGAATTCTAAAAATCGAAAAATCAAAAGCCTGAAAATCGAAATATCGAAAAATAGGAAAATCGAAAAATCTAGAAGTCGAGAGATCCGAAAATCGAAAAAACGAATGATCGAAAAATCGAAAATTTTGGAAATGAAAAAAATTAAAAAATTGAAAAACTGAAAAATCCCAAAAAAGAAATATGAAAAACTGAAAAATTTAAATTAAAAAAAAAAATCGATAAATCTGTAATCACAAAAATTGAAAAAGCCTAAAAACGAAATGTCGAAAATGGGAAAACAAAAGCTTGAAAAATCGAAAAATATACATATATGAAAAGTGAAAAGCCTAGAAGTCGAAAAACCGAGACTTCGAAACGTCAAGACCTTGAGAAATCGAAATAGCCCAAAAGCGAAAAATTGAAAATCCAAAATTCGGAAAACTGAACTATCAAAAAATCGCAACATCGAAATCTCGATAAATCGGGAAATTGAAAAATTGAAAAAACTTAAAACTTGAAAAATTTAAGAACTGGAAAATTGAAAAATGCAAACTTTAAAAAAATTGAAAAATTGAAATATCTAAAAGCTGAAAAATCAAAAAAACGAGAAATTGAAAAATATAAAATTAAAAAAATCGAAAAATTAAAATATCAAAAAATTTTATCCAAAAATTAAAAAACCTCAAAACTCAAATGTCGAAAAATTGCAAAATCGAGAAATCAAAAATCGAGAATTTTAAAAATCGAAAAATCAAAAGCCTGAAAAATCGAAATATCGAGAAATCGAAAAATATAAAATTTAACAAATCTAAAAATCAAATATCAAAGAATTGTAAAATCGAGAACACAAAAACCGAAAATTTAAAAAATCGAAAAGTTGAAAAATCAAAAGCTTAAAAAATCACAATATCGAGAAATCAGGAAGTCCAGAAACCGAAACATGGAAAAGTCAAGAAATCGAGAAATCGAATAGTCGAAAAATTGAAAATTTGGAAACAAAAATTAAAAATCGAAAAACTGAAAAGTTTAAATTAAAAAAAAATCGATAAATCGACAATCACAAAAATTTAAAAACTCCAAAAACAAAATGTCGAGAACGAAAAATCGAAAAATATACATGAAAATTTAAAAGCCTGAAAGTCGGAAACCTGAGACTTCGAAACATCAAGAGTTCGAGAAATCGAAATAGCCCAAAATCCAAAAATTGAAAATGGAAAATTCGGAAAATTGAACGATCAAAAAATCGAAAAAAACAAAATATCGAAAAATTTATAAACTGGAAAATTGAAAAGTGCAAAATCTATAAAAATTGAAATATATAAAAGCTGAAAAATAAAAAAAAAAACGAGAAATCGAAAACCGAAAATTTGAAAAATCGAAAAATTGAAAATCAAAAACCTAAAAAATCGAAATATGTATCGAGAAATCAGGAAGTCCGGAAACCGAGACATCGAAAAGTCGTGAAATAGGAAAACCGAAAAATCTAAAAGTCGAAAGATCGAAAAATCAAGAACTCGAATCATCGAAAGATCGAAAATTTAGAAATATCAAAAATTGAAAAAATCGAGATTTTAGAAAATCTCAAAACTGAAGTACCGAAAAATTAAGAAATCGAAACTTAAAAAATCGCGAAATCAAAACATCGAAAAGCCGAAAAATTGAAAACTCGAAAAACTGAGACAAACGAAAAATTGTACAATTTTGATTTTTTTTCCAAAAATTCCGATGTCCAAGACAATAATTCAACACGGATTCATAAACCACAACTTCAGGACTGTATTACTTTTTAACATTTAAATAAGTCACCCGATCGACTCGATTACAATACATCTTCGACATTTCGATTGGAAATTTTAATTTTTTTATATATAAAAAAAAAAAACGTTGAACGCACAAAAGTTCGCAATTTAAAATGAAATTTCAGAAAAAAAACGATTAAAATATTTTGTTATATTTTCTTGTAAAGCTTGCGTGGATTGCGTAAAAGTTAAGTATCTGTGCTAACAGATAGAGATATGACGTCATAATTAAGTTAATGATGTCATAAAAATATAAGCGCCACTAATAAGAAAACAAATCTGGCTGTTCGTGAGTTTTTTGCAACGGATTATTAGTTTTAACCGGTTTCCGGTAATTCCCTGTATACTATAGATTTGCAAAAAATCCCGACGTAATAACGAGTTAGTTTCATCTCGGAACACAAAAACTTTGCCATCTCTGTACCACAGAAACTATGAAAATCAAACAGGAAAGTTCAAAAAGTGTAATTTTTTAATTTGATTTTATTTCAAAAATCCACATATAAAAAACACTCAAACATCTGCAAACAAAGCACCAATTTCTGTTTACTCACCCAAATGTCAGAATTTATATTACTAATTATAGTTAGAAAATAAGGTCACGTGGATTGGGTTTTCACCAACTTATAAATCAACACGTTAATTATGAATCGTTAAAATTAGCATGACATTAACACATTTAAAATTCACTTTAGCTTAATTATGCGTACAATTTTCTGTCACATAATGAGAATATGATCTTCTTTCCACATTTACCTTGACATCCTTTAACGCGATTTTTAATAATAATGTATCGCTGAATGCGGTAAACAACTTTAAATCAAGATCAAACTAAGTGTATGTCAATACAAAAAACGTATTCGCCAGAAACCAAAAAGCACACAACTTGTCAGCACGTCGCCACCACTGTATTTTTTTCATCGTGTTCGTCTTTAACGCTAGAACCAGTGGCGACTCGCTAAATCAGGTCAATATCAAAATCAACAAGTGACACTACGTCAAGGGCTTGCAATCGCAGAAAACTCAATTTTGTGTTCATTGCATGGAAGTTCCACTGTATTTATTTATTAGAAGTGACCACACTCACCCAGTATCGATCAGTTGAATATGACCCACACCTCTTCAGAAATGAATTTTTCTGCGTGATTTGGTGGACGTCGGGGGGCGAATTTGAGGCAACTTCACTACTATCGTCGTCCTAAAGCAAATAAAACGCTCGTTACGGGTATAACTTGTGTGAAACACCGTACCTCGTCTAAGTCTTGATTGTCTTCAGACAAATCTCCTTCAGTGCAATCTTCCCAGTTTTCCTCTCTATCACAACTGTCCTCTTCATCACATTCTTCCAGGCCTAGTTCATTCAAAAAATTCGTTTTGTCTAGTTTCTCTTCAGAGTGACTGTTTCTGAATATTGCGTCCAATCTTTCGCTCAAAGGGGCTAGGTGATTTTGCGATGTACCTACAAGTGGCGTTATTGCGTGTCTTTGGTTCGGTTGACTCTTACCTGGTGCATTTTCAGTGGAGCACAACGAATCTAAACAGACAGTTTCAGTAGGGCTAGGGCTGGTGCAGTCTTGTTTCGGAAGTTCAGAATCTCGGTTAATACTTGATAATGCGTTTAAATTATTTCTGTTTCCTGACGGACATGATTCTGCCATTCTAAGTTATCTACAGTCTAGAAAAAAACGGGTTATACAGAATCATCGAATTGGTTTTTGTTATTACACATGAGGAGATAAAGTTATCAGTTAATTGCTGCAGCTGTGCAAAGAAGCGCCCGATTTGCATGAGAAAAAGCGTGCTGTGGTGTCTCAACAAGTGGACGAAACCTCCCAGGACACGTCCTGGTTAATTGCAAAATAATTACAGTGAAGAATGCGCGGTTAGGGTGCTGGGACTGACGTACCTACTGGTGGAACTTTTGGGGCATAGTTCGGAAAGTGCGAAACGGGACTAGGCGGTTACAGAAGAGCGAAAATTGGCCCGAGACTCCCAAAAGCTAGGCATCAAGGATAGCTGCTGGCTACTTCCTATCACTCTGAGGCACTTGCGAACCGAGCTTATTCGCACATTTCGTCGGGTGAAATACCTTTTTAAAAAACCACACTGACGGCCATTCTCAAAATCTAGGATTTATTGGCACCATTACAAATTTCTGGACGAACTTAGTAAATGAAGAATAAGAAATATCAGCAAAATCGCGTGGCTAAAGCGCCGCACCCATTCCCCAAATCAGGCTTTTCGCAAAAAAAAACATAAACAACCGAGTTTTTACTACGCAATTCGAGCGAAGCACTTACCAATCACAGGAAAATCCTCTGCGTATTTTTTCGCAAGACAATTTCATTGTAATTCGAGGTTTTGAACGATATTTTCGTGACGTTAGTTACAAGATGACAGACTAGGGGAATTTGAAGGCGCACATGTGATTTCGACAAAGTGACACTTTTGTCCCTAGAACGTAACCTCAAACAACCAAATTTAAATGTACTAACGAAAAACGACAATGTTGGAAGTGCAACAAAACACGGTTGTGTACCCACCGAATAAAGCGCTAGAGCGAAAAATCGAGCTTTCGACAACCCCAGTCGTCTACGACCATCTACTTTTTTTAGATTTTAACGAAAAAGGGGAGTCCATTTTGGGCTCGTCGAACCTCAACGGAACCTTATGGGAGGGAACCGTCCTCTTTTTTAATAACGAAGAGAACTTGCAGCTGCTTAAATACAACAGAAGCTTGATTGGGTCTACGGTATCCGACGGAAAATTTATCAACGACAACACTGTAAGTACCATTGGACACCCATACAACAACGTCGTATAGTTTGCTCTAGCCGAAGACACCGGACTTCTAAACATCCTGTCACTATCTCGCGAAAACTCGAAAGTCGAATCCGCCACTTATTTCCGAGAAAGCGACCGCATTCCTAAAATCGCCGTTTGGAAAAACAGCCCCCAAGTATTATCGTGCTCAAGCAAATCAGTGACCGTGTGGGACCTCAATAGCACCCTTAGAAAACCTCTGCACCAATTCCAGTAAGTTGGTCACCCTTCAAGACAAACATAACCTCAATCTTTCAGAGACTACCACACAGAACTGGTAAACTATGTTGATACTTTGAGAGCGGACCCCAACATCTTCGTATCGGCGTCTCTTGACCGAAAATGTTGTCTTTGGGACACCAGAAATCCGAATCCAGCGTCAGGTAACTCCCTCTCATCAATATTTATAACCCAACTAATTTTAATTTTCAGTGTTGTACAATAACGAGTTCTGCTCTATTACCAGCGTCGCCTGCAACCAACACAACTCCAACTACGTCGTCGCGGGGACCGAAGGGGGCGACATTTACCTTCTCGATAAGCGCGAGCCGAAAGAATTTATTTCCGTGGCCAGTTGCAACTGCTACATTTATAGAATAGTGTTCGACGATTCCAACAAATTGGCCGTCTGTGGCGACTTGAATAAGGTTTTAGTTTTTAAATGCGAAGACGAGATTCTTAATAATGCCTACTGTAATGATAAGCATTGTGGGATTGTGAGGGGCTTGGCCTGGTATAACGAAACTTTATACTCTTGTGGCTTTGACAAACAAGTCGTCAAACATTTATTATAAAAACATTCGTACAAATTAGTGTTTTTTCTTCTTCCTTTTCTTTTTGTCGGGTTCCGGCGATTTTCGTTTTTTGTCGTTGTCGTCGGTTTGGTCAATCCCGGGCACGCTGAAGTTGTCAACGAGCTCTTCAATTTTACGAGTTTGCTATTTTCAGTTTCAATTATGTTGTTTAATTTTTCAAAGTTTAGACTTATCAATTTTTGTATTTTTGAATTCCTCGGTTTTTAATTTTTCAACCTTTACCTACTAATTTTTCGAATTTTATTTAGTAATTTTACGTTTTTACAAATTCTACATTATCTTAATTTTTGACGTTTAAATTTTTCGACTTATAGTTTCCCCCTTTTTAATTTTTCAATTTCTCAATTTAAATTTTGAGATTTTTAAATATTATAAATTTTCTTAGATTTTTTAATTTTTCAGTTTTTCGATGTTTCAGTGTAACAATTTTTAGGATCTTCAGTTTTTTCGATTTTTATTTCCTCGTTTTAATATTTTTCAATTTTTAATTTTTTCAATTTTTCGTCTCTCAATCTTTAATTTTTCGGTTTTTCAATTTTTCGATCTTCAATTTCTCGAATTTCAATTCTCAAACTTTTCGATGGTTCATTGCTGTAATTTTTAAATCTTCGATTTTTCCGAAGTTATTTTTTCATTACTTTCTCGAATGCAAATTTCTCGTCGTTTTCATTTTCCCTCAAATTTTAATTTTCCGATGATTCAATTTATCAGTTTTTCGTTTCTTCAATTCTACGATTTTGCAAGTTTCAGATTTTTCAATTATGTGTATTTTTGAACTATTTTTGATTTTTCAATTTTTAGCGATTTTAATGTTTCGTTCTTTCAATTTTTACGATTTTGCAATTATTCGATTTTTCGATTTTCTGTTTCTCGAATTTTAATTATCAAACATTCATTGGTGCAATTTTTCAATTTTCCAATTTTTGAATTATTTTTCGATTTCCACTTTCTCGAATTCAAGTTACTCAATTTTTCCATTTTTTATTAATTGATATTTTGATTTTTCGTTGTTTTGAATTTTGGGAATTTTCGTTTTTCACTTGGTAATTTGTAAGTTTTTCAATTTTTCGATTTTTTTACTATTTTCGATTTTCAATTTCTCTAATTTCAATTCTTAAATTTTTCAAGTTTTCATGGTTACAATTTTTCAATTTTTAGAAATTTAAATTTTTCGGCTTTTCGTTTCAAGTTTACGATTTTGCAACTTTTAGATTTTTAAATTATATATGTTTATTTTGGAACTATTTTTGATTTTTCAATTTTTAGTGATTTTCATTTTTCGTCTCGCAAATTTTAATTTTTAGATTTTTCAATAATTAGAGTTTTACATTTTTCAATTTTTCGATTTTCTATTTCTCAAAATTCAATTCTTAAACTTTTCGATGTTTCATTGTTGCAATTTTTCGATTTTCCCATCTTTGATTTTTTTCGATTTTTACTTTCTCAAATTCAAATTTTAATTATTAAGTTTTTCCAATTTTCTTTACTAAATTTCTGGAATTCTTAAACATTTCGATGTTTCATTGTTGCAATTCTCCGATTTTTGAATGTTTAGATATTTTAATTTTTCGTTGTTTTCAATTTTACGATGTTTCGTCACTGAATTCTTAAACTTTTTGTGTTTCGTTGCTGTAATTTTTCGATTTTTTTCAATTATTATGTATATTTTTGAACTATTTTTCGATTTTTCAACGTTTAGTGATTTTAATTTCTCTCAAATTTTGATTTTTCGATTTTTCAATTTTTCGTTCCTTCAATTATTAAATTTTTATATTTCTAGAATTTCATTTCTTAAACATGTTTCATGGTTGCAATTTTTCAAATTTCCGATTTTTGCGATTTTTCGTCTCTCTCTTTGTAATTTTTAGCTTTTTCAATTTTTCTATATTAAATTTTTCAATTTTTCAATTCTTCATTATTTTAGATTTTTTTCAGATTTTTAAACAATTTTTCGATTTTTCAATTTTTAGTTTATTTTAATTTGTCTTTATTTTCGATTTTGCGATTTTCGTCTCAATTTTTAATTTTGCGGTTTTTCAATTTTTCGATTTTCAATTTCTCTAACTTCAGTTTTAAACTTTTAGGTTTCATTGTTGCAACTTTTACATTTTTCGATTTTACCGATTTTAAAATTTTTTCTCGATTTTTACTTTCTGGAATCCTAATTTCTCGTTTTCATTTTGCGATTTTTCGTCTCTCAAATTTTAATTTTTCGATTTTTCAAATTTTCTGTTTTTCGTTCCTCCAATTTCACGATTTTGCAACTTTTAAATTTTTTAATAATTATGTAAATTTTTGAACTGTTTTTGATTTTTCAATTTTTAGTGATTTCAATTTTGCGTGTTTTAATTTTTTTCGTTCTTTCAATTTTTAGATTTTCCAATTCAATTTTGATTTTTCGTCTCTCAAATTTTAATTTTTGGATTTTTCAATTATTAGATTTTTACATTTTTCGATTTTTCGTCTCCCAATTTGTAATTTTTAAGTTTTTCAATTTTTCTGCATTCGATTCTACGATTTTTAAATTTTTCATTTGTCGATTTTTTCCGATTTTTGAACTATTTTTCGATTTTTGGTTTATTTCAATTTGTCATTGTTTTCGATTTTGCGATTTTCGTCAAAATTTTTAATTTTGCGGTTTTTGAGTTTTTCGATTTTCAATTTCTCTAATTTCAATCCTTAAACTTTTCGATGTTTCGTTGTTATAATTTTTCTATTTTTGAATTTTTAGATTTTTAAATTATTATGTATATTTTGGAACTATTTTTACTTTTTGAATTTTTAGTGATTTTTATATTCCCTTGTTTTCAATTTTGATTTTTCGTCTCTCAAATTTTAATGATTAGATTTTTACATTTTTCTATTTTCCGATTTTCTGTTTCTCAAAATTCAATTCCTAAACTTTTCGATGTTTCCTTGTTGCAATTTTTCGATTTTTTTCAATTATTATGTATTTGAAATATTTTTGGATTTTTCAATGTTTAGTGATTTTAATTATTCGTTTTTTCAATTTTGCAATTTTTAGATTTTTCAATTATTAGATTTATACATTTTTCAATTATTTTTCGATTTTTACTTCCTCGAATTCAAATTATTTCATTTTTCAATATTTTGATATTTTGATTTTTCGTTGTTTTCAATTTTCCGATTTTTTCAGATTTTTGAACTACATATTTTTCGATTTTTCAATTTTTAGGTTATTTCAATTTGACATTATTTTCAATTTTGCCATTTTCGTCTAAAATTTTTAATTTTGCGGTTTTTCAATTTTTCGATTTTCACTCTCTCTAATTTCAATTCTTAAACTTTTCGTTGTTTCATTGTTACAGTTTTTTTATTTTTGAATTTTTCAGTCAGTTTTTTAATTATTGTTCGAATTAAAATTTTTCGATTTTTCAATTTTTAGATATTTTAATTTTTCGTTTCAATTTTACGATTTTGCAACTTTTAGCTTTTAAATTATTATGTACATTTTTGAACTATTTCTGATTTTTCAACTTTTAGTGACTTTTATTTTTCCTTGTTTTCAATTTTGATTTTTCGTCTCTCAAATTTTAATTTTCAGATTTTTCAATTATTAGATTTTTACATTTTTCAATTTTTCGTTTTTCTATTTGTCATAATTCAGTTCTTAAACTTTTCGATTTTTTCCATTTTTCCGATTTTTTAATTTTTTTGGATTTTTGCTTGAATTAAATTTTTTTAATTTTTTATGTATATTTTTGAAATATTTCTGGATTTCTCAATGTCTAGTGAATTTAATTTTGCGTTTTTTCAATGATTCATTGTTTACATTTTTCGATTTTCTGCTTCTCGAATTTCAATTCTTAAACATGTTTCATTGTTGTAATTTTTCAATTTTGCAATTTTTCGTCTCTCACTTTGTAATTTTTAAGGTTTTCAATTTTGCTACATTGAATTTTTCAATTGTTCATTTTTTCGATTTTCAATCTCAATTTTTAATTTTCTTAGTAATAAGGGTAATAACTCAAGATGGCTTCATAAATCACACATGCCGAAATGTGTTATTTTATAAAATTTAAATAACAGTGTAATGGGCTCGTAAACAGATAAATTTTGGTTAAAGATTTACCATGTTTCCGATAACCTCTTCCGAGAATTGGGGGGGACGTCGTGTTCGAGTAAGATTACTTCGTTTTCGGTGGATTGGTCGCCGATTTTGCACAAGGTCTCACAAAATGATCCTGGAAAAAATCCTTACTTTTGATTCTGAAGTGGCGTTTGAAATGAGAATACGAAATATGCGGCAAAAACCAAAAAAAAGCGTGGTACAAAAAAGAAAACTCAGCACGGATTCATAAACCACCAGGGCAGGAGTATTTTATTTTATAAATTGTAAATAATCACTAATGTAAATTTTGGAGATAATGTCATCCTAGTGTTGGTGGGGATGATTAGCCAAATTTCGGTTAGCGTGTTACCATCTATATCATATTTCTAATGTATATATAAAATTTGACTACAGTCGGTCAAGTAGTATCGGAGATTATCTCTAATAAAAATCCGGGCAGACGGCGCACAGATAGACGGATGGACGGAAACGGGAGACATATTTTTTCAAACCTTAGGGGACATGAAACGTCGAAAAAAACAAAAGTAACCAGTCGTCCAATGAACTCGATTACATACTTCCTTAGCTTACGCTCAGGAAGTAAAAAGGAGCTAAATAACACAACAAAAAAGGCCACAAAAAAGGAAGTCAAAAAACGCCAAAAAGGCGACCAAAAACACCAAAACAGGAACAAAAAAGTGGATAAAAAAAACAACATAAAAAAGGCTTTATTCCTAATAGATTTAAGGGTGAACAATGCCATTAAAAACCAAAAAAAAAGCAGCAAAAAAGTAAAAAAAAGGCATCGAAAAACAGGACATAAGGACAGGTGAATACAAAACAGTAAAAACGCTACATAAAGGGGAGCACAAAAAAGCGACAAAAATGTGACTAAAAATTGAGTTAAAATAATGACAAAACAAAAAAACGACGAGAAAAAACAAGACGGAAAAAAGGGCGATTAAAAAATAACAAAAAATATTACAAGAAAAAAAAGCAAAAAAGCGGACCAAAAAAAAGAAATGAAAAACATAATAAGGGGGCGACATTTACCTTCTCGATAAGCGCGAGCCGAAAGAATTTATTTCCGTGGCCAGTTGCAACTGCTACATTTATAGAATAGTCTTCGACGATTCCAACAAACTGGCGGTTTGTGGCGACTTGAATAAGGTTTTAGTTTTTAAATGCGAAGACGAGATTCTTAACAATGCCTACTGTAATGATAAGCATTGCGGGATTGTGAGGGGCTTGGCCTGGTATAACGAAACTTTATACTCTTGTGGCTTTGACAAACAAGTCGTCAAACATTTATTATAAAAACATTCGTACAAATTAGTGTTTTTTCTTCTTCCTTTTCTTTTTGTCGGGTTCCGGCGATTTTCGCTTTTTGTCGTTGTCGTCGGTTTGGTCAATCCCGGGCACGCTGAAGTTGTCAACGACGGGTTTTACGAGCTGGAGGACGAATTTTTCGTGCTGGATGTTGTTGGAGTCGAGGGTTAGGCGCACGACGACGGGGTCGAAGGCGTGTAAAACCACGTCTCCGGCTTTCTGGGTTTGGTCCTCTTCATTGTATTCAAAAATGTTTGAAGTCTCCCCTTTCCTGGCTAAAAACAAAGTGCACTCGAGTCCGTACCGAGGTATCAAGATTTGTAAGGCATTTTTTCGAACGTATAAAACGTAGCCTTCTTCATCTTGTAACTTTCCTTTGAAAAATAACTAAAAAAATATCAATTAATAGTTGCAAAATTTGTAAATGAAAATAATACGTGTGTATTGAAGGCTATGGACGCTCTTCCTGCATACTGCGCCATTCGGTTCCTATAGTTTAAATTTTGGCACAAATCTGTTGTTTTCTTTTTGTCTAATAAATCCGGGTAGGTGGCGTCTGAGCCACAAATTACAGCCAGTAGTCTGTGTACTATAATATCCGCGTATCTTCGAATGGGTGACGTAAAATGGGTGTACAATGGTACAGCTAGCCCATAATGGTAGTAATCCTCCTTCTGGAAGGCCCCACTAGCGAAATAAACCGCTTGTAACATGCAACGAGTGGCTAAAATCCTGAACATCGTGTTCAAATAGGGATTGTCTTTTTTGATGGCTTCGTCGAGCGATTTTGCTAGGTTTTTTCCCGAGTCGACTTTAATTTCAAATCCCTGTAACAAAAAAAAAAAATGATGATGATCCCTATGAGCTGGACTGTTAAAGTACAGGTAAAATTTGGGATGACGTTATCACACAATTTTGATTTTTTTTCTACAAGTGGAGGAAAACGTTATTTTTTTTAATCTAAATAACGTTTACCATTGTCAAAGTTGGAGATGACGTCATGTCATTACTGGTGGGGATGAGCAGACAAATTTTGGTTAGTGTTTGACCATCTACGCGGTGTTCCTAACGTACGTACAAAATTTGACAACACGGTGTGGTAGTTTCGGAGATCATTTGTCGAATAAATTTGTCCTTTCTTCAATTTTACGAGTTTGCTATTTTCACTATTAGTTTTTCGATTTTTATTTAGTAATTTTACGTTTTTATAAATTATACATTTTATCTTAATTTTTGGCGTTTTAATTTTTTGACTTTTAATTTGTCGATTTTTAATTTTTTCATTTTCTCGATTTTTAAATTTTCAATTTCTCCATTTAAATTTTTAGATTTTTAAATAACAATAATTTATGGAAAATGTTCATTACATAAATCAAACTAAACGAAATAATTAAATGTAAATGAAAGTTAATGAAATTAAATTAACTTTTCCATTTTTAAATATTTTAAATTTTCTCGATTAATTCTTTTTTTGATTTTCCCATTTCTCGATTTCTCGACTTTTGAATGTTTCGATTTTTCAGTTTTTCAATTTCTCGATTCTTCACAATTTTTCGATTTCTAAATTATCTGATGATTCAGTGTTATGATTTTTCATTTTTTAAATTAGATTTTTCAGTATTCAATTTTTGACGTTGCTAAATTTTCAAGTTTTGGATTTCACAATTTCTCGATTTTCAGGTTTTTCATGTTTTCAATTTCTCAATTTTCAGTTTTTCAATTATCTACTCAATTTTTCGATACTTCAGTACTGGAATTTTTCAAATTTTCGATTTTTCAATTTTTCGTTCCTCCAATTTTATGATTTTTCAATTTTTACATTTTTCGATTTTCTGTTTCTCGAATTTCAATTCTTAAACATGTTTCATTGTTGCAATTTTTCAAGTTTCCGATTTTTGAATTATTTTTCGATTTTTACTTTTTTCAATTCAAATTATTCGATTTTTCAATTTTTTGATATTTTGATTTTTCGTTGTTTTCATTTTTGGGATTTTTCGTCTCTCACTTTGTAATTTTTAAGTTTGTCAATTTTTCTATATTCAATTTTTCGATTTTTCAATTCTTAAACATTTCAATCTTTCATTGTTGCAATTTTTATTTTCGATTTTTCCGATTTTGAAAATTATTTCTCGAATTCTAGTTTCTCGTTGTTTTCATTTTGCGATTTTTCGTCTCTCAAATTTCAATTTTTCGTTTCTTCAATGTTACGATTTTGAACATTTGACATTTTTCAATTAAAATGTATATTTTTGAACTGGTTTTGATTTTTTCGTCTCTCAAATGTTAAATTTTAGATTTTTCAATTATTATTATTAGATTTTTACATTTTTCAACTTTTCGATTTTTTCAATTTTTCGTTTCTTCAATTTTACGATTTGCAATTTTCTGGTTTTTCAAATGTGTATTAGATTTTTTAATTTTTCAGTTTTTCGATGTTTCAGTATAACAATTTTTAAGTTTTACAATTTTTCTATATTTAATTTTTCGATTTTCCAGTTCTTCATTTTTTCGATTTTTCGATTTTCAGTTTATTTCAATTTGATATTGTTTTCGATTTTGAGATTTTCGTCTCAATTTTTAATTTTGCGGTTTTTCAATTTTTGATTTTCAACATTTCTTAACTTAAACTTGTCAATGTGTCATTGTTACAATTTTTCTATTTTAAAATTTTTCTATTTTTCAATTTTTAGTGATTTTATATTTCCTTATTTTCAATTTTGATTGTTCGTCTCTCAAATATTCATTTTTAGATTTTTCAATTATTGCATTTTTACATGTTTCAATTTTTCTCAAAGCTCAATTCTTAAACTCATGTTTCATTGTTGAAATTTTTCTATTTTTAGATATTTTAGTTTTTCGTTGTTTTCAATTTTGCGATGTTTCGTCTCCGAATTTTTTTCAATTTTTTTATACTCAATTTCTCAAATTCTTAAACTTTTCGATGTTTCGTTGTTGCAATTTTTCGATTTTTTTCAATTATTATGTATATTTTTGAGATATTTTTGGATTTTTCAATGTTCAGTGATTTTAATTTTTGGTTTTTTCAATTTTTCGATTTTGCGTTTTTAGATTTTTCAATTATTAGATTTTTACATTTTTCGAATTTCAATTCTTACACTTGTTTCATTGTTGGAATTTTTCGATTTCCGATTTTTGAATTACTTTTCGATTTTTCTTTCTCCAATTGAAATTATTTGATTTTTCAATTGTTTGATATTTTGTTTTTTGTTGTTTTCAATTTTCCGATTTTTGGTCTCTCACTTTGTAATTTTTAAGTTTTTCAATTTTTCTTTATTCAAATTTTCGAGTTCTCAATTCATTTTTTCGATTTTTTGCGATTTTTGAACTATTTTTCGATTTTTTAATTATTTTTCGTTTTCAATTTTAATTTTTCGTCTCTCAAATTTTAATTATTAGATTTTTTACATTTTTAAATTTTTCGATTTTCTGTTTCGCAAAATTCAATTCTTAAACTTTTACATGTTTCCTTGTTCCAATTTTTCGATTTTTTCAATCATTATGTATATTTTTGAAATATTTTTGGATTTTTCAATGTTTAGTGATTTTAAGTATCGGTTTTTGAATTTTTCGATTTTGCAATTTTTAGATTTTTCAATTATTAGATTTTTACATTTCAATCAATCCATAAATACTTTATTGGTTTTAAAAACTTACAAATACAGTTTTACACAATATTTTTTTACATTTTTCGATGTTTCATTGTTGCAATATTTCAATTTTCCGATTTTTGAATTATTTTTCGATTTTTACTTCCTGGAATTTATTTCATTTTTCAATATTTTGGTATTTTGATTTTTCGTTGTTTTCAATTTTGCGATTTTTTCTTCTGTCACTTTGTAAATTTTAAGTTTTTGAGTTTTTCGATTTTTCAATTCTAATTTTTAGATATTGTAATTTTTCGTTTCAATTTTACAATTTTGCAACTTTTAGATTTGTAAATTATTATGTATATTTTTGAACTATTTTTGATTTTTCAATTTTTAGTGAGTTTTATTTTTCCTTGTTTTCAATTTTGATTTTTCGTTTCTCAAATTTTAATTTTTAGATTTTTCAATGGTTAGATTTTTACATTTTTCAATTTTCCATTTCTCAAAATTAAATTCTTCAACTTTTCGATGTTTCCTCAAATTATTATTATTTTTTATTTTTAGATATTTTACTTTTTCGTTGACTTCAATTTTGCGATGTTTCGTCTACCTAATTTTTAATTATTAACTTTTTCAATTTTCCAATACTCAATTTCTCAAATTCTTAAACTTTTCGATGTTTCGTTGTTGCAATTTTTTATTTTTTCAATTATTGTGTATATTTTTGGATTTGTCAATGTTCAGTGATTTTAATTTTTCGTTTTTACAATTTTTCGTTCTTTCAATTTTATGATTTTGCAATTTTAGATGTTTCAATTATTAGATTTTTGTTTCTCGAATATCAATTCTTAAACATGTTTCATTGTTGCAATTTTTCAATTTTCCGATTTTTGAATTATTTTTCGATTTTTACTTCCTGGAATTTATTTCATTTTTCAATATTTTGGTATTTTGATTTTTCGTTGTTTTCAATTTTGCGATTTTTTCTTCTGTCACTTTGTAAATTTTAAGTTTTTGAGTTTTTCGATTTTTCAATTCTAATTTTTAGATATTTTAATTTTTCGTTTCAATTTTACAATTTTGCAACTTTTAGATTTGTAAATTATTATGTATATTTTTGAACTATTTTTGATTTTTCAATTTTTAGTGAGTTTTATTTTTCCTTGTTTTCAATTTTGATTTTTCGTTTCTCAAATTTTAATTTTTAGATTTTTCAATGGTTAGATTTTTACATTTTTCAATTTTCCATTTCTCAAAATTAAATTCTTCAACTTTTCGATGTTTTCTCAAATTATTATTATTTTTTATTTTTAGATATTTTAATTTTTCGTTGACTTCAATTTTGCGATGTTTCGTCTACCTAATTTTTAATTATTAACTTTTTCAATTTTCCAATACTCAATTTCTCAAATTCTTAAACTTTTCGATGTTTCGTTGTTGCAATTTTTTATTTTTTCAATTATTGTGTATATTTTTGGATTTGTCAATGTTCAGTGATTTTAATTTTTCGTTTTTACAATTTTTCGTTCTTTCAATTTTATGATTTTGCAATTTTAGATGTTTCAATTATTAGATTTTTGTTTCTCGAATATCAATTCTTAAACATGTTTCATTGTTGCAATTTTTCAATTTTCTGATTTTTCCGATTTTTATTTTCTCAAATTATTCTATTTTTCAATTTTGCAATTGTTCGTCCGTCACTTTGTAATTTTTAAGTTTTTCAGTTTTTCGATTTTTCAATTCTTTATTTTTTCGATTTTTTCCCGATTTTTGAACTATTTTTCGATTATTCAATTTTAGTTTATTCAATTTGTCATTATTTTCGATTTTGCGATTTTCGTTTAAATTTTTAATTTTGCGGTTTTTCAATTTGTCGATTTTCAATTTCTCTAAATCAATTCTTAAACTTTTCGATGTTTCATTGTTACAAGGTTTCCATTTTTGAGTTTTTCGATTTTTAAATTATTGTTCGAATTAAAATTTTCCGATTTTTCAATTTTTAGTGACTTTTATTTTTCCTTGTTTTCAATTTTGATTTTCCGTGCCTCAAATTTTAACTTTTAGATTTTTCAGTGATTAGATTTTACATTTTTCGATCTTCTATTTCTTAAAATTCACTTCTTACACTTGTCAATGTTTTATTCTTGCAATTTTTGAAATTTTCGATCTTTCAATTTTGCGATGTTTCGTCGATAAATTTTTAAGTATTAACTTTTTCAATTTTTCAATTCCTCAAATTCTTAAACTTTTCGATCTTTTGTTGTTGCAATTTTTCGATTTTTTCAATTACATATTATGTATATTTTTTAAATATTTTTGGATTTTTCAATGTTTAGTAATTTTAATTTTCCGTTCTTTCAATTTTATGATTTCGCAATTTTTAGATTTTTCAATTATTAGATTTTTACATTTTTCGATTTTCTGTTTCTCGAATTTCAATTCTTAACATATTTCATTGTTGTAATTTTTCCATTTTCCGATTTTTGAATTATTTTTCAATTTTTAATTTTCTTAGTAATAATGCCGAAATGTGTTACTTTATAAAATTTAAATAACAGGTATTCGTCAAAATTGTAAGATGACGTCATCAGTTTTTAGGGGGCTCGTAATTAAAGATTTACCATGTCTCCGACAACCTTAAAACGTCTGCAAGGTTTCAGAACATTCGGTTTTGAAATTTCATAGTTAAATTGTACAATTTTGGGAGTAAAAACTCTAGAGGTCATAAAACATCGAAAAAACATTGAAGGATCCAGTCGCCCGATGGACTCGATTGCAATACTTCCTTAGCTTACGCTCATGAAGTAAAAATAATAATAACAAGAGTGATAGGAAAAAATGGATCTTACAAGATGTCTTCCAGCCTTTACTAGAGGGTCGAAATTCAAACTAGGAGGAACTGGATGCCTTCTTAACATAGCACAATCTGGAAACACTTCTAGGATCTTTTCAGCCACACTTATGTTTGCTTGTAACATAAATTCTTCAATCATTGAATTAGTTTCAAAGAGTTTTTTCACTTCAACGTCTAAGGGTTCCATTGTTTCTGAATCCATTTGAATTTTGACTTCTGGTGAAGCTAAGACTAATGCTCTATGGGAGAAAAGAACAATAATAATAAAAAAAAATAGAGTATTATATGTAAGTGACTTACCCATTGGCTAATCTGCGCTGCTTCATAATCTTAGCCAACTTATTCAAATTCCTCAGCGACTCAGCCACCGAATCCTGCTTAGTTTTATCGTCAATAATCAACTGTGCCTCCTCATAAGTCATTGCTTTTCTCGATTTAATTATACTTTTGTGAAACCGCACGTTCAAAATATTCGCGTTGTGGTCCATCTCCCAAATACACGAAAACGCGAACCTTTCTTCGCCCCCTCTCAGCGAACACAGATTCGAACTGAGAAGTTCCGGAACCATGTCGATGCGGTTGTTCACTAGGTACACCGTGGTGGCTCTGGAGGCGGCTTCCCGATCCAGTGGTGTCCCGGGTCGAATGAAGTGGGAGACGTCGGCGATGTGGACGCCCACTTCTAGTTTTTCCGGGTCGATGGGGCGGCAGTGGAGGGCGTCGTCGATGTCGGTGCAGCCTGGGGGGTCCACGGAGCAGATGTCTAGGTGGCGCAAGTCCACTCGTTTGGTGACGTCCTTTAAAATAAGTGGGTTAGAAGAAGAGGGTGTAGATTAGAGTATGAGGTTTACGTCGTCGGTGATGATCCAGGGCATTTTCGGGAGGCAGGCGAGGACTTCTTCCGAGAATTGGCTGTGGGGGACGTCGTGTTCGAGTAAAATTACTTCGTTTTCGGTGGATTGGTCGCCGATTTTGCCCAAAGCTCTGACGAAATGACCCTGGAAAAAATCCTTACTTTTGATTCTGAAGTGGCGTTTGAAATGAGAATACGAAAAATGCGACAAAAACCGAAAAATGGCTAGAAAAGCGTGGTAGAAAAAAGAAAACTACGCACGGATTCATAAACCACAAGGGCAGGAGTATTTTATTTTATAAATTGTAAATAATCACTAATGTAAATTTTGGAGATAATGTCATCCTATTGTTGGTGGGGATGCTTAGAAAAAATTTGGTTAGCGTGTTACCATCTACATCACATTTCTAATGCATATATAAAATTTGACTACAGTCGGTCAAGTAGTTTCGGAGATTATCTCTAACAAAAATCTGGAAAGACGGCACACAGATAGACGGACGGATGGAAACGGGAGACATATTTTTTCGTACTTTAGGAACCAAAAAAAAGCCAAAAAAGTGACCAAAAACACCAAAACCAGAAGAAAAAAGTGGTTAAAAAACAACATAACAAAGGGGTGAACAATGTCATTAAAAACCAAAAAAAAAAAAAAAAATGGGAGACCTATTTCTTCGTCTTCTAGGGGTCATGAAAGATCGAGAAAACATAAAAGTAGAGAGTCGGCCGACGGACTCGATTACAATACTTCCTTTGCTTACGCTCGGGAAGTAAAAAAACCAAAAAATCAAAAAAAGGCATCGAAAAACCAAACCAAAAAAAAAAGTAAGAAAAGAAGCCAAAAGAAAACAACGAAAGCTCAAAAAAAAACAGTAAAAAACACGACATAAAGGGGAGCACAAAAAAAGCGACAAAAATGTAACTTAAAAAGAGAGTAAAAAAATTACAAAACACCAAAAAACGACGAGAAAAAAAGACGGAAAAAATTATGACAAAAAAAGGCGATTAAAAAATAACAAAAAATATTACAAGAAAAAAAGGAACTGAAAAACAAAATAACAAAAAAAGACAGCAAAGATGTCGGAAAAAAGGCAACAAGGAAAAGCGAAAGAAAAGAAAAGGAACCAAGAAAAAATGCGACTAAAAAAACACAAGAAACAACACCAAAAAACAAGGGGATCTATAAAAATGGCGACAAAAAAATCAACAAAAAAAGGGACCTGAGAAAAGAGTGAAAAAAATGCAACAAAAAAAAATTGGGGGACAAAGAGGAAAAAAAATCGGGACAAAGAAAAACAACAAAAAAGACGAGATGTCCGCAAAAAAACGGACCAAAAAATTTGACAAGAACGAAGGCACCAAAAGATGGGAAAAATACATAAAAAAGCTATTAAAGAAACGATTAAAAACACAATATTTTATGAGAAAAAGCCATAAAAATGCAAAAAACGCGATAAAAACGAAAATAAACGAGACCACAAAAAATGTGACAAAATAAAAGAGGCCACAAAAAAGTGAACAAAAAACGGCAGAGGAAATAGAGGAATGAAAACGCAAACAAAAAACGACGAAAAAAAAGATTAAAAAAAAGGGAACTTTAAGCTGACAAAAAAGGCGAGAAGTCCACAAGAATGCGACTAAAGTACAACAATATAACAATGAAAAACGAATAACAAAGATGGCAAAAATCACACGAAAAAAGATAAAAAAGGACGACTAAAAATCACAGTAACAAAAAACGCCAAAAAAACAGGCAACAAAAAGAACACAAAAAAGCAAAAAAAAGCGAGACAAAGATAGAAAACTAAAAAAAGGCTATAAGTCAAAGCGACCAAAAAAACTAAAAAAAAAAGACAAAAAAATAAAAATAGGGTAAAAAAAGTCATAAAAATGTTACTAGAAGGAGGCAACCTACAAATCTACAAATATACACGACAAAAAAAAGGAAAAAGCCATATAAAAAGGACCAAAAATTTAGGCAAAAAAAATGAAAACAATGACAATTTAAAAAAAAAGGGAAAAAAAACGAAAACGCAATATTTTTAGCAAAAAAGACGACAAAAAAACGAAAAAGGTCAAAAAACAAAACAGAACCACGAAAAAAAGCAACAAAAAAAAAAACGCGCCTGAAGGGAAAGGCGACAAAAAAAAAGAAAAAGGACAAAAAAACGGTAAAGGAAATAGAGAGTAGAAAACGGAAACAAAAAACGACGAAAAAAAAGTTCAAAAAAGGGAGAAGTCTACAGCAAAAAATATAAGAAGGAAAAAAAAAAGACAACAAAAATGGCAAACGATAAAAAAGGACGACAAAAAACCATAGTAACAAAAAAGGAGGAGAAAAAAACCAAAAAACGAGACAAAAATATACATAGGAAACCACAAAAACTCTATAAGAAAAAAAGACAATAAGAGGTGACCAAAAAATGTGATTAAAAAAAGGAAGTAAAAAATGAGCGATTAAAAAAGCCTACAAAAAAAATCAACAAAAAACTACTATAGAGGAAAAAGAAACTGGGTCAAAAAACGAAAAAAAAGCGACCAAAAAACTTAAAAAAAAGGCGAACAAAGTCCACAAAAATCCAACAAAAAAAGAACGAAAAATTAAAAAATGGGGTAAACAAGTCATAAAAATGCTACTAAAAGCAGCGAACCGACAAATTGACAAAAATACCCGACGACATAAAGGGCAAAAAGCCATATAAAAAGGTTAAAAAAATTAGGCAAAAACAGACGATTAAAAAGGAAGACCAAAAACACAACATTTTTATGGTAAAAGTCATAAAAACGAAAAAAAAAGGCGATAAAAAACGAAAAAAGACCAAAAACAAAACAAAATCACGAAAAGAAAACAACAAAAAAATCGACAGAAGGAAAAAGAGGCGACTAAAAAAAAAAGAGAAACAAAAAAAAAGACAAAAAAAAAACGGTGAAGGAAATAGAGGACAGAAAACGGAAACAAAAAAGAACGAAAAAAAAAGTCAAAAAAACGGAACTTTGAGTTCACAAAAAAGGCGAGAAGTTCACAAGAATGCGACTAAAAAACAACGATAATTACAGCAAGGAAAAAATGACAACAAAAATGGGAAAAATCAAACGAAAAACAATAAAAAGGACGACTTGAAAACAGCAACAAAAAACGACAAAAACGCAAAAAAAGACAATCATTTTATGTCACTTTTTTAAAGGCGAAAAAAAAAGGCAACAAAAAAGGCACAAAAAAACAATAAAAGGTGACCAAAAAATGCGATCAAAAAAAGGGGAGTCAAAAAATGAGCCCACAAAAAAATCAACAAAAATCCTATAAAGTAAAAAAAAAACGGAAAACAAGGTGACCAAAAAAACTAAAAAAAAACGAATAAAGTCCACAAAAATGCAACAAAAAAAGGACGACTAAAAAACGCAAAAAAGGACTAAAAATCGACAGAAGGAAAAAGAATCACAAAAGAGGTAACTAAAAAAAAAAAGAGAAACAAAAAAAACGGTGAAGGACATAGATGACAGAAAAACGGAAACAAAAAAGAACGAAAAAAAAAATCAAAAAAAGGGAACTTTGACCTCACAAAAAAGGCGAGAAGTCCACAAGAATGCGACTAAAAAACAACGATAATTACAACAAGGAAAAAGGACGACTACAAAACAGCAACAAAAAAAACGACAAAAACGCAAAAAAGGAACATAACTTTTTATATCCCTTTTTCAAGAGAGAAAAAAAAGGCAACAAAAAAAAGACGACAAAAAAATGCAAAAAAAAAAACAATAAAAGATGACCAAAAAAATGCGATTGAAAAAGGGGAGTCAAAAATGAGTGATTAAAAAAGCCCACAAAATCAACAAAAAAACTATAAAGGAAAAAAAACCGCGTTTAAAAAAACGGAAAACAAGGCGCCAAAAAAATCTAAAAAAACAAAAATGCGATTAAAAACGCAAAAAGGACAAAAAAAGCCAAAAATTAAAAAATGTGGTAAAAGAGTCATAAAAATGCTACTAAAAGTACGGAACCGACAAATCGACAAAATAAAGGGGGAAAGGCCACATAAAAAGGGCAAAAAATTAGACCAAGAAAAACACAAAAATGCGACAAGAAAACCGAAGAAAGACAACAAAAATAATACTAGAAAAGCCCACAAATATAAAACAAAACAAAAAAAACAAGAAGAACAAAACGCAACAAAATGACGTCTAAAAAAGGCAAAATTTGTATTAGCGTTTACCATTTTGAGATAACCTTAAAACATTTACAAGATATCAAAGCTGTCGATTTTATAGTTTCAAAGTTAAATCGTAAAATGGACGGACTCATAAACCATAAACAGAAGCATGTTATTTTATAAAATTTCAATAGAATTGACTCCATAAAATTTTGAAACAACGTTACAAATTATTGATGAGGATGATCAGACAAATTTTGGTCTACATGATATTTCAAAAATATACCTAAATTTTCATAGCAGAGGACTAACGACAGAAACAGAAATGGGGTACCTACTTTTTCACATTCTAGAGAATATAAAACTTCGAAAAAAGCCTAAATTATCCATTTATGAAATGGACCCTATTACATACAATACTTCCCTAGTGCACGCTTGAGAAGTAAAAAAGTAAAATGAGATTCCCAATTTCAACCCTCCCTTACAAAAGCAAAAAAAAAAATGGTTTTCAAAAAAGAAAAAATAGAAAGTATGGAATAACTTTGTCTACAAGGTGACTCTTAATTATAATTTTAAGTCAGATCAAAAAAGCGTCGTCCAATGACAATATTGGGCAGCCTTCTGGAAAAAAAAAAATAAAAGTATGCAACCAACATTACACGCCAGACAAGATCTCGCTCGTACAAACAAAATTTTATCTTCGTTCACATCATGTTATCCCCTACGGATTATGCAACACTTACGTGCGGGTACCGCGAATGCTTGGGCCACGAATCAATCGTCACAATCAGCTTCTGCGTCCTCAAAAACTCCGCCTGCCTCGTCTCCACCCTAATCTTCGGAATACTCTTATCCGCCGGCACAAACAACTGATAAACCCCATCAATACCCCCCTGCAAAATCCCGCAATACTGCCGCCACTTCCTCCGAATAATCCCCACGACGCGCCCCGTAGGCTTCGCTCCCCTCTTCTTCTTCGTCTCCCTCTTCAACTCATTCTCCTTACTTATAACATCGTCGACATTCTCGTCCTCCACCCCCTCATCTTCCAGCACGATCTCGCTAGGACAGACCCAGTCGTCCTCCCTGAACAGCTCCAGGGCGACCGTGTCGCCATCTACCGCACGATTGAGACCAGCGCGACCTTGCACGATAATCTGGTCTTCGTACGAGTCAACACTGACGAAGCCCTCCAGGAAATTGTCGCGGGAGGCCCGAAACGTGCCCTGCAACAATCGCCCTTCGCGGATGCCGGTTAGAAGCTCCACGTTGGTCAAGTGGTTGGGGAAAACGTCTTTAGCGGCGTCTTTTGCGTGGTAGTCTTTCCTGGAGAGTTTGTCAGTGAGGGAGGAGTTGTTATTTAGGTTAGTTATGTAGTCTGAAACGGAAAGGGATTGGATGTTTTCTTGGAGGGCTTTGGCACGATTGGCGGAGTCATCTGTTAAAAAAATGAAGCGGCATTTGGGGGCGTGGTTGATGTACCAGGAGCAAGCGGCACGAATGCATCTGTCATTATAATCGTTAACAAGCTCAGCTTCTTTTTGTTGTAAGTAGGTGCCCCTACAATTAAAAATTAGTTATGACTTGTGAGAATTTGTTACAAATAAAATTACTTGTGGTGGTCATTAATGAATACGTAAAAATGCCGACTGGGGTTGTCTATTATGTTGTACAAACGTTTATACATTGGTAGGCTTCGGTGCTTGACTTCTTTTAAAACTGTGTGTAAAATTATAACATTGCCAAGGATTGACTCTTCTAGGATATCCATCTACAACCAAATTTAATTTTTTCACTGTGTTCAACTGTGTTATTGTTAGTTTTACCTGATCTAGGATCACATTAGTATCTAGTATGAGGTAATGGTTAAATTCAAACAAGGCGCATTTATTTTCATGGTCTGGTGACAAAAAAGACTCCACTGGTAAGCAGCTTTCACACTCTTGGAGACCGCAGGCGATGTCGTCACGTATGTAGTGCTCCCTTACGTGCTAAAAACGAAAAAATAAGACCGCGGGAAGCCCCCTTACGTACTAACCTTCAAATAATTGCCGACTTTGTTCTTTTTAATAAAAGACTTTGTGGTAAACATTTTGTGGTTTTGTTGCTGCTGCACTGATGTTAACGTTCCAAATTTGTTTATTCAGCTTTTAATTTGATAAACATGCTGCTAACATTTTGGAGGTTATGTTGTGTGGGGAATTTCTTGGGTTAGGGTTGCATGACAGTTGACATAAGTCGCATGAGGAGAAGAAAGTTTCGGGGTTAGAGTAGGCCACAGAAACATTTTTCGCATGTGATTAAAACTGCCAATGTCACAAATGCAAACTTATCTGAAATAAAATTGGAATAAATACTTTATCCTTTAAAACTTACTTAAGGCCTGTTTTTCGATATCAGACATTGAATTTTTTTTATTAAGATACAAATGTGATATTGTTATTTAACTTTCCAGAGAGCGTCTGGATTCTGGATTCTTAATTTATGGGGGCTGACCGTGGCCAGCCGGCACTTAGGCCTCGCCTTTGGGCCCATTGTACCTTCCCCAAGTCCATATCAGGGTGTTTTCCCGCTCCTCTACTCGTCAAGCCACCCAACTGCTTGAATGTACTTGAGTAATGCAGAGGGTGGAAACTCCCTGATATTTGCCATACTAGGCCAGATGTCCCCTAGTATGGATTCCCTGTAGGAGGCTAGGGCTGGACACTCACGAAGAATGTGCTCAGCTGTTTCCTCTTCTTCATTGCATCCACGACAGATTGGGTCTGTTACCACCCCTATCGTATATAGATGTTTGTTAAACTGGTAATGCTAATGTCCCGTAAGGAATCCTACCAGTTTACGCAGTTTGTCCCTTGAAAGTGAGAGATAAAATTTCGTCAACTTACGGTCTGGTGTCGCCATACAAGCTCTACTATGCCGACAGCTGCTCAACTTCACCCATATCTGCTCATGGCGTCTCTGGGTATATTGCTTCACGAGTTCGTTCGAGAGGGCGACCGAAGGCGTGATTGCCGGTTCGGGTCCCCAGAAGGGCATACGCGCGGCTCGCTTCGCCACCTCATCTGCCCTCTCGTTTCCTTTGTTGCCACTGTGTCCTTTGATCCAACAAAGTTCCACACTATTCCTCTGCGTTACATACTTTAGCGTTTGTCTGCACTCCCAAACCAGCCCGGATCGAACCATACAGCTGTCCAGGGCTAGTAGTGCAGACTTGCTGTCAGTATGTATGCATATTGATTTGTTGCCGATTTCACGTTCAGCAATGATTCTAGCTCCCAGCATTATTCCCATCAGTTCTGTTTGTAAGACAGACGTGTGGGTGCCGAGAGGTACACTAATTTGTGCGTTCAGTTGTTCGGAGTAGATGCCGGCTCCTGAACCACTATCTGTTTTGGCACCATCGACATAGATATCTATGTCGGCTCGTCCTTCTGAATTATCATTCATTGATATTCTATATGTCTTCTCATATATTAATTTTGTGCCCATTCGGTCACAGCACATCCTTAACAAGGGTATTCTGTTGAACGCCTCCGTTAAGATCCGAGTGTGCTTCGTTGTGCGGCCTTGTTTGTTCCATACTCCCAGAGAGTGAAGTCTTAGAGACGTCGTCATTGCCGCTTCCTCTATATAAAGGTTAAGAGGTGCTAAGCAAAGAAGAGTCTCCAGAGCCGCTGTGGGAGTGGTCCTCATTGCTCCTGTAACACTGAGACACGCCATTCTCTGAACGTGTTCAAGTTGCAGGGCTGTTGTTTTTTGTCTGGCTCTGGGCCACCAAACTAAAGCTCCATAGCACAGCATCGGTCTGACTATTGCCGTGTAGATCCAGAGGGTGATCTTGGGATTTAAACCCCACGACCTTCCCACCACCCTACGACATTGCCAAAGAGCCGAGCGTGCCTTTTCTACTTTATCATCTACATGCTTCTTCCAATTCAGTCGCCAGTCCAATACAACTCCCAGGTATTTGACTTCGTCCGAAAGTTGAAGCGTTGTGTTAAATATTTTTGGCATCTGTAGTGTGCCAATTTTCCTTTTCCTGGTGAACAGGATTAGTTTCGTCTTTTCTCCATTAACGGAGAGGGTATGTCTGCTGCACCATTCCTCGACTATTTTTACTGCAGCTTGCATTATCTCACATAATGTATCTGCGTTTTTTCCTGTTAGCAGAATGACTAGATCGTCCGCGTATCCAATTGTGTGGTAGCCAAGATCATTGAGGCGTCGTATCAGGCTGTCAACGACAGTATCCCACAGTACAGGAGAGAGAACTCCTCCCTGAGGACATCCCCTGTCTACAACAGCCTCGATCTCAGTGCCACCTACATTAATCATTACTTCCCTGTTCCTCAGCATACCGGCCACCCACCTACTCAGGGTGGGGTCCACGTCGTGCTCTCGTAGGGCTAGCTCTATGCTTTTGAAAGTCGTTTTATCAAACGCTCCTTCAATATCCAAAAACATTCCTAAGGTGAAGAGTTTGTTCTCCATCGCCCACTCTATACGGTTTACAACTGTGTGTAGGGCCGTATCGGTGGATATTCCTTGGATGTAGGCATGTTGGTTCGGATGTAGAGGTTGCTTGCTCAAAGCAGTCTCCCGAATCTCTTTTTCGCTTAGTCTTTCTAGCGTTTTCAGCAAGAATGATGTTAAGCTAATTGGTCTGTAGGATTTAGCCAAGGTGTAATCTTGTCCAGAGAGCGTCATTGTATAGTAAAATTATTATTAGTATTATTAATAATTAATAATTAAAATAATTAAACGTTTTATTTACTTTTGAGTTTTCTTTTTCAGAGAAATGGAACTTCCACAGTGAGAAAATACATACTATAACTCATAATACAAGAATTAAAGTGGCACGCTAGACTCCAGACAAGTTTAAATGAGGCGCCGTTTGTTGTCCTAAATGCAACCAGCAATTCTTCCTAAAATCTACCTAAGCTGAGATGAGTACAAAAGACACATCAATGAAGTCAGTTTCTGTATTGAATAAAAAAATTGGTCGAAAGTTATTTCTACAGAACTTTCCTCGCTTCTGAAGTACAGTCCAACAAATACTACTTCTCTGAAAAAGTATATCTAAAATTTGATTTTGCGGAATTTTACTTTTTTCTGATAACCTCTATGGAGTAAAAAAATATAGAAGGTATTAGTCACAGTGTAATATAAAAAAAGAAGGTTTCACCTTCTTAAAAAAGACAGTTGGGAACCCCGAGAAGATTTAATATTCTTAAAAAAGACACTTGGGGTCCCCGAGAAGGTTTCGCTTTCTTTAAATAAGAACAGTTGGGACCCCTCAGAAGGTTTCACATTCTTAAAAAAAAAGACATTTGGGACCTCCAAGAAGGTTTCACATTCTTAAAAAAAGACAGTTAGGACTCCCGAGAAGATTTCACATTCTTAATAAAAGATATTTGGCGCCCCTGAGAAGGTTTTACATTTATAAAAAAGACAATTGGGATCCCAGAGAAAGTTCTATTTTAAAAAAATACATTTGGCGCCCACGGAAAGGTTTTACATTTTAAAAAAGGTTTCAGATTAAAAAAAAAGACATTTGGAGTCCTCGAGAAGGTTTTACATTTTTAAAAATACAATTGGGATCCTTTTTCTTTCTTCCTGTCTCTCTTTCTGTCTCTGTTCTGCATCTCTTTTGGTTTGTCTTTCTATCATGCTCTTCTTCTTTCTACCTCCCAACATCCCAACATTAGGTCCCTCATAATTACGAAATGGTTTCAGAGCTAAATTCTACCATACATCTAAAAATATGAAAATTTCTTTGGTTTTGTTCTTCGGTCTTTTTGTCCATCTATTCTTCTCTCGCCCTCTTCCTCTGTCCTTAAGTTCTTCTACCCTTCTGTCCATCGATCCTTCTGTCTTTCTATCCTTCTGTCCTTCTGTCTTTTCACTTTTCAGCCTTTCTGGCCTTCAACCTTGCTAACTTTCTGTCTTTTTCCTGAGACTCCTTCTGTTCTTTTGCCCTTCTATCCTTCAGTAATTCGGTCTTTTGGTTCTGCCTATCAGGCTTTCAGCATTTTAGCCTTTTTGCATTTCAGCATTAGGGCCTTTCAGCTTTTCTGGCTTCTGTCTTTTTATTTGTCTTATTGTCTACCTCTCATTGCGTCTGTTTTTCTTTCTTTTTTCTGCCGTTCAACCTAAAGTCGCTTATAAAATTTTTCCCGAACTAATTTTTACCATATAACAAAAATAATAAAAATGTAAAAATTTACTTAATTTTGTCTTTCTCACTTTCTCTCTGTTTTTTAATCTTTCTGTCATTTTGATTTTCTGTCTTTCTGAGTCTATCTTTCAATATTTCAGCTTTTTCCGTCCTTCAGTTTTCAATGTTAGAATTTTCGAATCTTTCTCCCTTCCTGTCGTTCATTCTTTCAGTCTGTCAGTCTTTCTGTCTTTCAGTCATCTATCGTTCTGACTTTCTATCATTCTGTCTGTCCTTCTAGCTGCCTTTATGTATCTTTTTCTGTATTCTTTTCTGTGTCTCTTTTTGTTTGTCTTTCTGCCTTTCTGTCTTTCTATTTTTCTCATATTCTATTTTCAAAATATATTACAGAACTAATTTCTAACATACATTAAAAAATGTAAAAATTTATTTGATTTTGTCTTTCTCACTTTCTGTCTTTCTGCCTTTTTTTCCTTCTGTTCTTCCATCCTTGAGTCCTCCGTTCTTTCGGTCCTTCGGTCCTTCGCCCCTTCTACCCTTCTGCCCTTCTGCCCTTCTATCCCTCTATGTTTCAGAATTTTAGAATTTCATCCGTTTAGCCTTCCTGGCTTACTGTCCTTCCTTTCGGCATCTTGGCCTTTTAGCCTTTCAGATTTTCTGCATTTCTGTCTTTCTTTCTGTACTTCTGTCCATCTACCCTTCTGTCCTTGAGCCTTTCAGCGTTTCAGCCTTACAGAATTGCTGGCTTTCTACCTTCCTGTCTTTTTTTCTGTATTTCCGTTCTTCTTTCTTTCTGCCCTTCTATCCTTCTGTCCTTGTGCCCATCTGCCCTTGCGTTCTCCAACGTTTTAGTCTTTTTGGCTTTCTATATTTCTGCCTTGCCGCCTTTCTGTCTTTCTGTCTTCCTGTCGCTCAGTCTTTCAGTCCGTCAATCTTTCTGTCTTTTTGTCATCTGTCGTTCTGACTTTCTATCATTCTGTCTGTCTTTATGTACATTTTTCTGTGTTCCTTTCTGTCTTTATATCTTTCTCTCCTTCTACTTTTCTACCTTCCTAGCTAAAATCTTCTATTTTCATTATATACATATTACAGAACTAATTTCTAACATACATTAAAAAATGTAAAAATTTCTTTGATTTTGTCTTTCTCACTTTCTGTCTTTATGCCTTTCTATCCTTCTGTCCTTCCATCCTTGAGTCTTCCGTTCTTTCGGTTTTTTGGCCTTCTGGCCTTATGTCCTTCTATCCTTCTATGTTTTAGAATTTTAGCATTTCATCCTTTCAGCTTTCCTGGCTTTCTGTCCTTCTGTCCTTCTGTCTTTCTGTCCTTCCTTTCAGCATCTCAGCCTTTTAGCCTTTCAGATTTTCTGCATTTCTGTCTTTCTTTCTGTCTTTCTGTCCTTCTGTCTTTCTGCCCGTCTATCATTCTCTCCTTGTACCCATCTGTCCTTCTGTTCTTCAACCTTTTACTATTTTCGACTTTCTGTATTTCTGCCTTGCTGCCTTTTTAACTTTCTGTCTTTCTGTCTTCCTGTAGTTCTGTCTTTCAATCTGTCAATCTTCCTGTCTTTTTGTCATGTGTCGTTCTGCCTTTCTATCATTCTGTCTGTCCATCTGTCTGTCTTTATGTATATTTTTCTGTATTCCTTTCTGTATTTCTTTTTGTTTGTCTTTCAGCTTGTCTGTCTTTATATCTTTCTCTCCTTCTACTTTTCTACCTTCCTAGCTAAAATCTTCTATTTTCATTATACAGCCTGTTATTGAAAGGTACGTACAAAATAAAATCGGCAATTGGTCTCCAAGTATGGGTGCTAAAAGTTAAAAAAAGTTCAGGTAAAAGTGTTCTCCTTTTAGAGATAAAAATTATTAAAACTTATGTCCAAATTCGTTGTACGCCTCTGATAAAAAGATCATCTTTCGTTTCTATAGCAACATTTAGTCTTGACAAAAGTTTTATTGTTACAGTTGCTAGGATTTACTAGAAAAAATTAATTTTACCTATTTATCCTTCAGTAGCGTCTAAAAAGATTGGATAAGGGTTAATTTTCCCCTTAAAATTTTGATAAGACAAAATAAGTTTTTCCGACTTCTTAGACTTCGCGAAGAACTGTCCATTTTGTTGTACGTACCTTTCAATAACACCCTGTATACATATTACAGAACTAATTTCTAACATACATTAAAAAATGTAAAAATTTCTTTGATTTTGTCTTTCTCACTTTCTGTCTTTCTGCCTTTCTGTCCTTCTGTTCTTCCATTCTTGAGTTTTCCGTTCTTTCGGTTCTTTGGCCTTCTGGCCTTATGTCCTTCTATCCTTCTATGTTTTAGAATTTTAGCATTTCATCCTTTCAGCTTTCCTAGCTTTCTCTCCTTCTGTCTTTCTGTCATTCCTTTCAGCATCTCAGTCTTTTAGCCTTTCAGATTTTCTGCATTTCTGTCTTTCTTTCTGTTCGTCTATCCTTCTATCCTTGACCCTTTTATCTTTTCAGACTTTCTGGGTTTCTGCCTTTCTGCCTTCTTGTCTGTCCTTCTGTCTTTCTGTCCTTCTGTCTTTCTGCCCTTCTATCATTCTCTCCTTGTACCCATCTGTCCTTCTGTTCTTCAACTTTTTACTATTTTCGACTTTCTGTATTTCTGCTTTGCTGCCTTGTTAACTTTCTGTCTTTCTGTCTTCCTGTAGTCTTTCAATCTGTCATTCTTTCTGTCCTTCTGTCCTTCTAACCATCTGTCCTTCTATCCTTCTGTCTTTCAGCCTTTCAGAATTTCTGGCTTTCTGCCTTCCTGTCTTTTTTTCTGCCTTTCTGGGTTTTATTTCTTTCTGTTCTCCTGCCTTTCTGCCCTTCTATCTTTCTGTCCTTGTATCCACCTGTCCTTCTTATTGACTTTCTGTATTTCTGCCTTGCTGTCTTTCTCTCTTTCTCTCTTTTTATCTTTCTATCTTTCTATCTTCCTGTCTTCCTGTCTGAAAGAATCAAAATTTCCTGGTTTGATTACAGAAAATTTTGATTTCGAAATTTTTGGAGATAATATTTTAACTAAACAATACAGTGATTTTTTTAGTAATAATGAATGTCTATTTAATAAATTTATTATGGGTAGATTTTAGGTGGGAAGTGGTGTTTTTTTTTTATTAACAGTTCAACCTGATCCGGTAAGCAATCGAAAAAACTGACGAATATTGACAATTTGAAAATGACACAGGACCAAACTTTGGAATGAAATGTATAAAATTGTTTTTATGCTGTTTTTTAATTTTCATGTTCTTCTTCAATAATTTATTAGATAATATTTCTTTTGAGCATATGTATCTGACTGCAAAACCGAATGCTACCATCACAAAATTTTGCCGAACAAATGTTAAAATTATATAACAATATTTTACAATTTAACTTTGAAATCGTGACTTTGCAACAGTACTTGCATTCTTAATGTACCATGGACTGGAAATATTAACAGTTATATAACTCCAAATCTACCAGTTTCTAACACATTTTTGTCACATTTTTTTGGTTGATTGAACCGTTTTCAGTAACTTCGAATTTGTAAAAAGCTGCAATTTTATCTAGAAAAAAGAAAAAAATTGTCATGGCTTCTCTAGAGAGTTCCCTTAAACTTTGCCCTAAAAATTATGACAATACAACACACTCTTTTTAAAAACTGAAACGAAGGTAAATAAAATTACCACAAATTTAACACATTTAAAAATGTCGTAATACAATAAATATGTAAAACAAATCACGGCAATCAGCAACACTTATCACACCGTTTTAAAACTTATCCTTGGTTGTCAATCTTACTCAACATTTATCTCAAAATGCAGCTTATAATATTATGTAGTACCAAAAAAACCGTCAGTGTGTAAACATGTATAAAAATTTAGAATATTTTAGTAAATATTTAGTAAATTGTATATTAAGATTATACAAGTAATATGCATAACAAATAATGCAGTGGAAGGTTCCATATTCTATTTGTACTAATTTACTTAAGTAGCACCAATTGAATCTATTACATAAATTCAAACGTGCTTCAGTACGTTCAACGACACACATGTAAGTAACGCTATACCCTATTTATTTACATAATAAAAAATTATGACTGTAATAAAACAAAAATAGTATTGTATGAGTCCAATGTACGCCGGTTTAGCACCCACTAAAACAAATATTTACCTAAGAGACTCAACAATGCTTAATTTTGTTTGCGAAAAGGGTCGATTAGATAAGTTGTATTTAGACTTCTTTATTATATAATATCAAACTCTGCCAGCGTTCCATAAATTACATTAAACAATTAAAACCGTCAAGAGAGGCAAAGTTCCCCGTACAAGTAAGTTTCTAAACGAATTTAGCGTTTTGCTCAACAATGACAAATTGTCCGGTTCCACTTTTCCAAATTAGATAAAACTTTTTAACAAGCAATTAGGATTCATATTGTGCGATGTTTGCAACGGGGAAGATTATAATCAATAGAACTGTTCTTGCGCAAGACCTCGTGCTGCGAGATTTTGGCTTAATGCCACCTAATCGTTTTTGTTAATCTCTTTATAAGCAAGTAGGGCTTTTTGTTGAGAAAATGTAGGGTCAAGAAACGAAAAAATGTGTCTTAGGACGGTACAAGACGGGGATGGCGTAGGTATTTAATTTCGATCACGAATTGCCAGGTGTGTATGCTTTGCCTTGTTTTAACCATGGACGATTTTGCAGCATGTCAAAAATCCTGAAATTCGTCAAATATGCGTTCAAGAATCATCCGATTATCACTAACTCGTTAGTGTATGGGACGCTTTTCGTGGGGGCGGAGTTCTCCCAGCAGACGGTTTCGAAGAAGGTTCTGGTGAGTTTTAGTGAGTAGGAACAAAAATAACACGGACACGGAGAAATAAAGCCCACTGAAATATAAATCAATATATTGATGTTTAAGAGGTTACAGGCTGTCCAAAATACGTGGAATGAATTCGATGAAAAATTCAGGCATATAATATGGTGAAAGGGATGGGAGGTGGAGTGGTTTCAGGCGGCTACGTTCTGAAAACAAATTTGAAAAATTGTGGCTGAATCGATTTCTTAGTTGATAGTTGTGGGTTCGAGCCACATTTTTTAACAGAATATTTCTTATTTTTGTGACGAATGAAAAATACTAGAAACGATGAGTATTGATTGTATCAAGTTTATTACACCTTTTATGGACAAACTGTACCTAATAATTTTAGAAATTTGAAAAAGACCATGTTATTTTACGAAAATTTATACTATAACTATTTTCAGAAATTTCCATTTTGCCATGGTTTAGTCACATATAAAATTGTTAGTCAAAAATATTACTTCAAAAAAATATTTTATGTCAACGATTATTATTATTTTTATCAGTGTCTAAACCATTTTCACTTGTGATATTCAACACTAAAAATTCGTGGTGCACAGCTGACCATTCGTTGTGACAGAAAAAAACCTCATAAAATGTCTGATTACTAGCACAATGTATATGTTTTAAAGTCCAGTTATTTCAAATTTCGCGAAATTCAAATGATTTATGTTAACATGAAGAATTTGAGAAAAAAAGTTACCATTTATCAATATGGTATACAAATTTTTGAACTACAAAAAGAATACAATAAACTCAATATCAAAAAAAAAGTTTATTTGCAAATAACTTCAGTACATCTCAAAAAAAAGGAAAATTAAGAAATTTAAAACTAGTATGAGACGACAAATATGAAACAGTAAAAAGAGAGTGTGTTAACTGGAGGCAATTTACTAACATTAACACTAATGTGTTTTCAATAATGTCAATGTTAAATTTGTCTAAATTTTAATTGTTTTTTAAGCGAAACATTTTAAAGCTGACAACAATAACAAAAATGTTACATAATCTTCTTATTTACTTATCCAATTATAATTAAAAAACATGTTTTTAACATTTTTCGATATTTCTTGTAATTCAACTTTTGTTCAAACGTATCATGAAAAAGTAATTTCTGGACTGAACAAATTTTTTTGGACATATAATATGTAACGGGTGTTCAATTAAAAAAGTCGTGAAGTTGGCGTTGCTTTTTTTGATAGAAGAAAACAGAGAAAAACGCATGTGATTTCTTAATTCATACCACTCTATACAATTACCATTTGACACATGTTTTTAAGTATAGTGTAACATAGCAAAGATTAAGCCCCACCCACTCACCCTAATCTCAGTTGTGATGAATTTTTCATTCGTTGTCAAGCCGAGGGCGGAGCAAAGTTCATATTTCTGTACAAGAAATTATGAAAACATGTTATAAGTATTGTTGGGAAACTTGTAGGAAACTCAGAATTTTGCAATTAAGCTCCTCTCCCGGGTTCATAGCGAATGAAAATCAAAATCGCCACAATTGAAATGGGGGCGGGCGGGCGGGGTTTATATTTTGCTTGGTTTCTTAATTAAACCTGCATAAAAAGAGACCAAAGATTGAACCCCACCCACCCGCCCTAATCTCAGTTCTGATGAATTTTTCATTGGTTGTCTAGTCGAGGGCGGAGCTTAACCGCAAATTCCATATTTCTGTAGAAGAAAAACACGATACTTAAACATATTTTGCAAATAATAATTTCTTATGGGAAAATCAGGATTTTGCAATTTAACTCCTCCCCCAAGCTAATGGGAATGAAAAACAAAATCGCCACAATTGAAATGGGGGCGGGTGGGCGGGGTTTCATATTTTGCGTTGTTTCTTAATTAAACCTGCATATATTAAGCAAAAAAAGAGAGCAAAGATTAAGCCCCACCCACCCGCCCTAATCTCACTTGTAATGAATTTTTCATTCGTTGTCAAGTCGAGAGGCAGAGCTTAACTGCAAAGTTTATATTTCTGTACAAGAAAGTACGAAAACATGTTTTAAGTATTATCATACTGTTGGAAAATACTTCATTTGCAGAAAAAGGGGACCATGTAACTCCGCCCACTTATGACCACAACACGATACTTAAACGTATGTTTCAAATGATAACTTCTAGGAAAATCAGGTTATGCAATTAAGCTCCTCCCCCGGGCGCACGGCGAATGAAAAACAAAATCGCCATAATTGAAATAGGGGCAGGTGGGCGGGGTTTATATTTTGCTTTGTTTCTTAATTAAACCTGCATATATTAAGCAAAAAAGAGAGCAAAGATTAAGCCCCACCCACCCGCCCGAACCTCAGTTGCGATGAATTTTTCATTCGTTGTCAAGTCGAGGGGCGGAGCTTAAATGCAAAGTTTATTATTCTGTACAAGAAATTACGAAAACACGTTATAAGTATTACCATATTGTTGAAAAATACATCATTTTCAGAAAAAGGGGACTATGTAACTCCTCCCACTTATGACAACAACACGATATTCAAATATATGTTTCAAATGATAATTTCTTGTGGGAAAATCAGGCTTTTGCAATTAAGCTCCTCCCCCGGGCTCATAGCGAATGAAAAACAAAATCGCCACAATCGAAATGGGGGCGGGTGGGAGGGGTTTATATTTTGCTTTGTTTCTTAATTAAATCTGCATATATTAAGCAAAAAAAGAGAGCAAATATTAAGCCCCACCCACCCGCCCTAATCTCAGTTGTGATGAATTTTTCATTCGTTGTCAAGTCGAGGGGCGGAGCTTAAATGCAAAGTTGATATTTTAAATATTATAATATTGTTGGAAAATACATCATTTTTAGAAATATGGGACTATGTAACTCCGCCCACTTTTGAACACAACACGATACTTAAACATATGTTTCAAATGGTAACTTCTTGTAGGAAAATCAGGATTTTGCAGTTGAGCTTCTCCCCCGGACTCGTGGTAAATGAAAAACAAAATGCCACAATTGAAATTGGGGCGGGTGGGCGGGGTTTATATTTTGCTGTGTATCTTAAACAAACCTGCATATATTAAGCAAAAAAAGAGAGTAAAGATTAAGCCCCACCCAGCCGCCCTAATCTCAGTTGTGATGAATGTTTCATTCGCTGTCAAGTCGAAGGGAGGAGCTTAAATGCAAAGTTCGTATTTTTGTGCAAGTACGAAAACATGTTTTAAGTATTATCATATTGTTGGAAAATACATCATTTTTAGAAAAAGGTAACTCCGCCCACTTATGACAACAACACGATACTTAAACATATGTTTCAAATGATAACTTTTTGTAGGAAAATCAGCATTTTGCAACTAAGCTCCTCCCTCGGGCTCTTGGCGAATGAAAAACAAAATCGCCACAATTTTAATGGGGACGGGTGGGCGGGGTTTATATTTTGCGTTGTGTCTTAAAGAAAGCTGCATATATTAAGCAAAAAAAGAGAGTAAAGATTAAGCCCCATCCACCCGCCCTAATCTCAGTTGCGATGAATTTTTCATTCGTTATCAAATCGAGGGGCGGAGCTTAAATGCAAAGTTTATATTTTAAATAGTATTATATTGTTGGAAAATACATCATTTTCAAAAAAAAGGGGTCATGTAACTCTGCCCACTGAAGACAACAACACGATACTTAAACTTATGTTTCAAATGATAACTTCTTATAGGAAAATCAGGATTTTGCAATTAAGCTCCTCCCTCGGGCTCATGGCGAATGAAAAACAACATCGCCACAATTGAAATGCGGGCGGGTGGGCGGGGTTCATATTTTGCTTTGTTTCTTAATTAAACCTGCATATATTAAGCAAAAAACAGAGCAAAGATTAAGCCCCACCCACCCGCCCTAATCTCAGTTGTGATGAATTTTTCATTCCTTGTCAAGTCGAGGGGCGGAGCTTAAATGCAAAGTTCATATTTCTGTACAAGAAAGTACGAAAAAATGTTTTAAGTATTATTATATTGTTGGAAAATATCATTTTCAGAAAAAGGGGACTATGTAACTACGCCCACTTAAGACAACAACACGATACTTAAACATATGTTTTAAATAATAACATCTTGTAGGAAAATCAGGATTTTGCAATTAAATTGCAATAAAAAAATCATCACAATTGAGATAGGGGCGGGTGGGCGGGGCTTATTTGTCTTAATATACGTAGTTTTCTTTTTGTAACAAGAAACTTAAAATATGTTTCAAATGGTAATTTTTTTAGGGAAATATGAATTTTGCAATTATGCTCCGCCCCCTGGTTTAACAGCGAATGAAAAATTTATCACAATTGAGATCGGGGTGTGTGGGTGGGGCGTAATCTTTGGTTTTCTTTCCTACTTAATGCAACAAACGTCGATAAATAAATTAACACAAAATATTGGCGACAAAAAAGCGAAAAAATGTGGACAAAAAGAACCCAAAAATCTGACAACAAATCCAAAAAAGAGGTAATAAAAAAAATGACACCAATGTTATAAAAAAGACTACAAGTAAATGTAACTAAAAAAATGACAGAAAAAGGCGACAATTAAGATCTCAAAAAGAGGTGTAAAAAGTTACAAAAAAAAGTGATGAAAACGCCAAAGAAAAAGAAAATTGCTATGAAAAGTGCTAAAAAAAACAACGAAAAAGGACAACAAAAAAAATTACAGTGAGGTATGCGAAAATGTGACGCTAAAGTTCACAAAAAAAAAACTGTAAAAAATACAACTAAAAAAAACTGTCAAGAAAACAACACAAATGTCGCAAAAAAAAAACAAAAAAAATACGACTAAAAAAGGCACCAATTAAGTCCACGAAAAGACGTAAGAAAGTTATAAAAAAGTGACGAAAACGCTAGAAAAAAAAGAAAATTACTATTAAAAAAAATACAAAAAAACGAAAAGAAAAGACAACAAAAGAAAATGACAATAAAATACGCGAAAACATGGCGACAAAAGTTCACAAAAAAAAAGTAAAAAATCCCACGTAGAAAGAGATGACCAACGGCAAAAAAGGCGATAAAAAGTAAACAAAATCTAGACAAAAATTACACAAAAAAACTGACTAAAAAAAGCCGAAAAAGACTGGCAAGAAGCAAAAAATATTACAAAAAAGGCGACCAAAAATGTAAAAAAAATGCTGCAAAAAATAAAAAGACGATAGAAAACTCAAATCTACAAAAAAGGAATGTAAAAAAAAAAGGGCAATTTGAACAGAGTTGAAAGTTTGCAACTTTTTTATTTTTTCATTTTGTAGTTAAAAAATAATATATGTATTCTAAATGACATTAGAAATGCAACTTCGAGAAATTACGATTTATGTTAACAATTTTTGTTGTGTAAACATTTCCGTGTTCTGTCTCTAACACGTGACCACCCAGATCTCCGGATTTAAATCCCATCGAACACATGTGGGATATGATGGCAGGAAACTAACGGTATCACAAAATCGTCCATAGGCCCCATAGAAACCTTTTTTAAGGGAGTCACCTTTAAACTTTTTTTAATATACTACATATATCTAATGGGCTATGAAATTAATTTATTAGTGTGCGACTTCATTTGACTTTATGCTAAATTAATTAGTCTGTCAATTAGCTGTCAAAGATTGATTTTTTCACAACGTATTTTTTAAAAGCACCATGTTAGTTATTATTTATATAAATTTCGGAACGCGGTTTTCGCCACTGTTTCCAGTTTACAGACTCTAAACACTACCGAAGAAACATCACGTTTTAGCAGAAATGGGATACAGTAAAACAAATTTCTGTATAGAAAGTCTCAAAAATTTGAGAAAGGCGGCCAAAAAGTAAACCAAAAATAGTCAAACAAAAAAAAAGTTGAAAATTTGATTAGTCTTATTAGTTGTTCAGGGGCTATATTCTCTACCCTAGCTGCTTACCCTTTTAGTTGCATTTATTTGATAATTACTTTTATTTATCAGGCCGAAACACCAGCACCATATGACACGCCAACAATCAGTAGATACGCCTTATATGGGACGACAATGCAGGGGCCATTCTTAACTGTTTGGTACTTATTTTTTTAATTTCCTTTCGCTGCCACTCCAAACCTACATTTTCATTTACCGCATATTAATTTTGGTTTTCCTTTGTTGACTTTGCTCGATTTCAGAACAAAGAATCTTTCCACTATGATCATCACATGATAACATATTTTGGAATTCTTGGTGTGGCTGTGTTCGCGCCAGTATACCACTACTGGTAGGTCAAAACCAAAATTAATATCACTCTAACCCTTGCTAACTATTCCACCTCTCGTTCCAGGTATAGATGGCTAGACCGGAAATTTGTAGGGACTTCCGCCAAAATCGTAGTCCAAAAGCTGCTCCTGGACCAATTTTTGATGACGCCACAAATACTGATAGTTTTTTATGTTGGTGAGTTTCCATGAGTTCGTGGTACGTAAACGAGTGATTTTTCCAGCGATGAGTATCATGGAACGGAAAAAAGACATCTTCGAGGAGTGTCGAGAGAAAATCATCCCCACGTTTAAGACTAGTTGCATGTTTTGGCTACCGGCCCAGTCCATCAACTTTATGTTAATTCCGCCTCCTTTTAGGGTAGTTTACGTTGGTACTTGTTCGTTTGCTTGGGTTAATATTTTATGCTGGCTGAAGAGACAAGAATATTGACGAAATCTTAGATAGGTATTATTACCGAGATCGAGGTCTACATTTTAACGAATATCTTCGTCGAAGACAATATCACAAGTTTTGAAGATTTCGGGTAAAATGTGGAAGCTCGATCGCTTTTAATAAGTGACAGGAAAGGACAATAAAGCCTTATTTGTATAGGTGTATGTGAGTATGATACAATGTTTGCATTCTTAATGGTACTATTAACTTTTAAAATCCTACCTTTACCTATAATGTGATATTTTCAACCGTACATATCATGAATGGTCCTCATAATTATTACGTGATGTGCTTCCACTGGCGAAGCTTTGTTATTTCAGCTTAATTCCTAACGATAATAATTCAAAAATCAGATAGATAAGGTATATAACGATTTTCAGACTGTCGTTTTTTAACAATGCATGAAAACGTCATGTTAAAATAGATTGTCTGGCGATGTTTTTTAAGAAAAGATAAATTCCTTATGTGCAGGAATAGGCGTTTAAATTTTTATTACATAAATCAATTTAGTCACACTATATTTGCTAGTAATGAAACATTTATCTTAATTATTGTGTATCACAGTGTAATTTTTTATTAATAAATTTAAACAATACAATGAGTGGGTTTCTGTTGTGAAATTCTACAGTACATAAAACTGGTATCAGTCGTAGAAAAAGTAAATCCCCCTACTTTCAATCCGTGTGTTGCTTGTTGCATATAAAAGCAAGTTTAAATAGATGTGGTCTAACCGCAGTTTCGAAGCGAGTGGATGTAAGTCTTCCTCTGTCCGTATTTTCGTTCTATAATTAATTTGATTTTACTTTTAGATGGCTTCTTTCGTGTATACGACGATACTTTTGTTTTTAATGTTGGGCTTGACAATTGCAAGTCCCTTGGATTATTTGGTTGAAAATCAAGTTCAAACTCTCTTAGCTCCAAGTCGGATAAAACGAGCTCCTGTTGACGGCTGGCAAATAAACGAAGACAGAGACAAGAACGGCATTCTAATAAGTAAAAATTATGTTCTCAAACATAATAGTAACAACTTCGATGCGTCTGCTTTGTTTAAAGAAAGACCTGGTAAAGAGAAGGTGTACAGGATAGGAGCCACGTTCAGATTTTAATTGTGTTAATTTATTGTGTTTCATAATTAAACAAATATACTCGTATTTCATTGTATAGCACGTTTATTCACCATCTCCAAGTTCCTCCAATGTGCCATGTAGGTTTCGCCCTATTGGGTCCCCTGAAAACTTTTCCCCATCCGGCATTAAAGTCGTGGTTTCTGCCTTTATGGTTAATTTCGACTTGGCCTCTGGTGTTTCCACTCTCGTCCCTTCCGAGATCGGGGTTTACGGACCATTTACCTCTTCGTCGAGAAGCTTGAGGAAAATTGGAAGCACCTGATGGAATAGAACGTCTGAAACGAAGCAATTCGTTGATTTCTTCAGGGAAGTACATTTCGTGGACGTTTTCGACTTCAGGGTCATGTTGGTGTTCAGGCGGAGGGATGGCAGAAATGGCGACGAGTGCCACAAGAAGTATAAGAGCTTTTGCGAACATCTGAAAGAATAATAGACGCAATGTTGATTATTTTTTATAAATTATAATGCACTGTTAGATTTGTTTTATAAATACTTACCCTGTGATTATGAAGTAGAGTAGAAGCTTCGCGGAAAAAGTTGTTTAGACTGGAAATGTCACTATGAGGTATCTAATTGATAAACGTTCTTTTATATCTGCGGCGTCCGGGAAAGGGAATAACCACACTTTTGGGCTGATTCACCTATCTTTGATAAAATTTCAAAGGCATCGCTTGATTGAGGAAAAACAATTTTTAAAATACCTACATATTTTAAAAATTCGACTTTCCTAATAAAACCTTTACTCTTACGTGGACAAGTTTTTTTCACAATTTTTCAGTAGCCAGTAGGGAATACTTTCCCTAATAAACCCATCACTCCAGCTTTAAGTACGAGTGTTTTCATAACTTATAGACATTCAGTTTTTTCGTAATCGCCATAAATACGTCCTTAACAAAAAATGACCCGGAAATTTTCAAATTTCCGAAATCATCAAAAAGATATAAAGAAATAAAGCACTTTTTGAGGTATTTTTAAAATCTGATTTTGAAACCGAATATTTTAAAAACTAGTCGTCATGCAAATTTGGGATTATTTTCTCTGACAGATGCATCATTTCTGTGAAAACATGATTTTTTTCATCATTTTTGGGCTCCCAGCTTTTCCGGAATCCCTCTAAATACTTCGTTAACAAAAATGCCACGATTGCTTCCAGATTTTCAACAATAGCACTCAAGCTTGGACTGTGATCATCAAGATGGTTTGTTTTTTCAGTTGTACTCGTTGCAATCTATCTCCAGAATTTTTTTGGATTTGTAGGTAACTTAGCCAAATGTCCAATTTTTCAGTATCCTCGATTTTAAAATTTCTGACTTTCTCTCAAGCATCTTCGAAATTGAGCAAGGAAATTTTTTATTGATGTCAATCGCTTGAAGTTTTTCCGGCTACAGTTTTGTGAAAATTATTACCATTTTTCCAAAATCGACAAAGTGAAATAGGGTAATTTTTAAGATATTTTAAAAATTCGATTTTGGAACCGCATCCTTTGTGGACTAGTCGTCGTATCGACTTGGGACTACTTTCCCTAATAAAACGATTATTCTTGCGTGTGCATGATTTTTTTTATAATATTCGAGTAGCCAGTTTTTCCGAAATCGAGGTAAATACGTCATTAACAAAAATGCCACGTTTACTAAGGAATATTCGTTGAAAGCCCTCAATCTTGGTCCGGCACCCCCAACGTGCCATATTTTTGGTTTCAGCTCGTTGAAATCTGTCTCCCAGAATTTTTTGAGGATTTTAAGGCAATTTCACGAAAATCTCAATTTTTGAAAATTCCACATTTACGAAATTTTAACACTTTTCTCAAGCACTTTCGAAACTTAACTAGAGAAGATAATTTTGTTGCTTTTGATACCCTGAAGTCTGTTACGGCTTCCGTTTATCACAAATTCCTACCATTTTTCCAAAAATACCAGAATGAAATATGATAAATCTTGAGACATTTTGAAAAATTAATTTCGAAACTGAATATCTCGAAAGTCAGTAGTCGTATCGTCTTGGGATTATTTTCCCTAATAAACCCATCATTCCTGCGTTAGCGCAATTTTTTTCATAATTTTTGGACAGCCAGAATCTTTGGAAGATTTCTACACAATTTCGCCAAAAACTCAATTTTTCGATACACTCCTCCACGAATTTTTGTACCTTTCCTTGAAGTCTGCAAAATTAAACAAATTAATTTCTTTTGTCGCTTTTAATCTTTTGAAGTCTTTTAGGGCTTCAGTTCTTCGAAAATTCCTACCATTTTTCGTAAGTCGCCAAAGTCAAATATTGCAATTTTTGGGATTTTATTTAAAAAATTTATTTTAATTCATTTCAAATTTTGTTATAAATTTTGAACATTAATTTAAGATTGGCAATAGAACAGTTCGTTAATACCGATTTTTGGTCACTACTTTTGTATTACTGCATTACGTGACGAAATCCTAATTTCGTACCATTTTTGCAATTATGTATCAAAACAAATAAAATAGTCTATTATCCTTTTATTAAAAAATAAATAAGTACACATTTTCAAAAAATATCACAAACAATATTACGAACACATCTTCACGTTAAATCCCTTCACCACCTGAAGGTTCCTCCAACGTGCCACGTGGGTTTCGCCTTGTTGGGTCCACGAATAACTTTTCCCCATCCAGCGTTAAAATCGTGGTCTTTTCCCTTATGATTAACTTCGATTTGGCCCTTGGTGTTTCCATCCTCGTCCCTTCCGAGGTCGGGATTTACGGACCATCCACCATTTTGTTGTTGACCAGGCTGGGGAACATTGGGAGCTCCTGGTTGAAGGGAACGTCCGACGCGACGCAATTCGTAGACTTCTTCAGGAGAGTAAACTTCGAAGACGTCTTCGACTTCAGGGTCGTACTGGTATTCGGACACAGGAATGGCAGAAACGGCAACTAGTGCCACAAGAAGAATGACAAGTTTTCCGTACATCTGAAAGAAAAGTAGATAAAATGTTAGTTTTTGGCGAATTTTATGTTTTATCTTGAAATACTAACTTTTAGATGTATTTAATCAAAAACTCACCCTGTGATTGCGTAGAAGAGCAGAAGACTCGTCAAAAACGTAGTTTAGAGTACAAACGTTGTTCTGAGGTAGAGAATTGGAGAAGATACTTTTATACCTGTAACCGTGTGGAATCGGGGATCACCGCAGTTGCGAGTTGATTCACCTTTCTTCGATTAAATTTTAAAGACACCGCTTGATTGGGGAAATAATATTTCTGATAAAGAAAAGAAAAACAACGAAAATTACGTCATTACAAGTAACATTCATGTATTTTTAAATATACGTGATTTTTCTCGAAAGCACGCGATTTGAAAGTGCAATGGTAATTAATTCTTAAATAAAGAAGAATGAGTTCTATGCATGCATCATACGATATCACTGACATGAAATATATGGTAGAAAACAAAATAATTTGACATGCTACATTCATATTTTGTCAACGTAAGAGCACGAAATAGTGGTTTTCCGTTTACGTATGCCTATCGTCGGTGTCAATTTTAATTAGAGAGAAAATCTCCGAAACTACTATACCGATTGTTGTCCAATTATGTATGTATATTTTATGTGAGCTGTTCGTAATCTGAAAAAAGAATTGCGATTTATCATGTTTACGACCACTTTAACAAATTTTAAGGGGGAGAGCAGTCGATTTTTCAGTTAAATTGTGAACAGTTTTGATTTCTTTATCATGTGTATCTATAATAGAATCCACCTACAATTTCAATTTTTTTATATATTTGATTTCCCTAATTTTATATAAGCCTTTAGTTCTTCGAAAATTTCTACCACTTTTCCGAAATCAGTAAAATGAAATATAGCAATTTTTGAGGTATTTTAAAATCTGATTTTGAAACCGAATATCTTAAAAACTAATCGTCGTACAAAGTTGGGATTATTTTCTCTGACAGATGCATCATTTCTAGGTAAACATGATTTTTTTTCATCATTTTTGGGCCCCCGGTTTTCCCGAATCCTTCTAAATACCTCGTTAACAAAAATACCACGATTGCTCCCATATTTTCAACGATAGCACTCAAGCTTGGACTGTGATCATCAAGATGGTTTGATTTTCAATTGAACTCGTCGCAATCTATTTCCAGAATTTTTTTGGATTCGTAGGTAACTTAGCCAAATGTCCAATTTTTCAGTATCCTCGATTTTAAAATTTCTGACTTTCTCTCGAGCATCTTCGAAATTGAGCAAGGAAATTTTTTATTGATGTGAATCGCTTGAAGTGTTTCCGGTTACAGTTTTGTGAAAATTCTTACCATTTTTCCAAAATCGACAAAGTGAAATAAGGCAATTTTTAAGATATTTTAAAAATTCGATTTTGGAACCGCATATTTTGAGGACTAGTCGTTGTATCGACTTGGAACTACTTTCCCTAATAAAACCATCATTCTTGCGTGAGCATGATTTTTTTTTATAATTTTCGAGTAGCCAGTTTTTCCGAAATCGAGGTAAATACGTCCTTAACAAAAATGCCACGATTACTAAGGAATTTTCGATGATAGCCCTCAATCTTGGTCCGGTACCTCCGATGTGCTACATTTTTGGCTTCAGCTCGTTGAAATCTGTCTTCCAGAATTTTTTGAGGATTTTTAGGCAATTTCACGAAAATCTCAATTTTGAAAATTCCACATGTATGAAATTTTAACACCTTCCTCAAGCACTTTCGAAACGTAACCAGAGAAGATTATTTTGTTTCTTTTGATACCCTGAAGTCTTTTACGGCTTCCGTTCATCACAAATTCCTGCCATTTTTCCAAAAACGCCAAAATGAAATATGATAAATCTTGAGATATTTTGAAAAATTGATTTCGAAACTGAATATATCGAAAGTCAGTAGTCGTATCGTCTTAGGATTATTTTCCTTAATAAACCCATCATTCCTGTGTTTGCGCGATTTTTTTCATAATTTTTGGACAGCCAGAATCTTTGGAAGATTTCTACACAATTTCGCCAAAAATTCAATCTTTCGAAACCCTCCTCCACGAATTTTTTTACCTTTCCTTAAGAGTCTGCGCAATTAAACAAATTAATTTCTTTTGTCGCTTTTAGTCCTTTGAAGTCTTTTAGGGCTTCAGTTCTTCGAAAATTCCTACCATTTTGCGTAAGTCGCCAAAGTCAAATATTGCAATTCTTGGGATTTTATTTTAAAAATTTATTTTTAATTCATTCCAAATTTTGTTATAAATTTTGAACATTAATTTAAGATTGGCAACAGAACAGTTCGTTAATACCCATTTTTGGTCACTACTTTTGTATTACTGCATTATATGACGAAATCCTAATTTCGTACCATTTTTACAATAATCTATTAAAACAAATGTAATAGTCTATTATCCTTTTATTAAAAAATAAATATTTAAGTACACATTTTTAAAAAATATCACAAACAATATTACGAACACATCTTCACGTTAAATCCCTTCACCACCTGAAGGTTCCTCCAACGTGCCACGTGGGTTTCGCCTTGTTGGGTCCACGAATAACTTTTCCCCATCCAGCGTTAAAATCGTGGTCCTGTCCTTTATGATTAACTTCGATTTGGCCCTTGGTGTTTCCATCCTCGTCCCTTCCGAGGTCGGGGTTTACGGACCATCCACCATTTTGTTGTTGACCAGGCTGGGGAACATTGGGAGCTCCTGGTTGCAGCGAACGTCTGACACGATGCAACTCGTAGACTTCTTCAGGAGAGTAAACTTCGAAGACGTCTTCGACTTCAGGGACGTACTGGTATTCGAACATAGGAATGGCAGAAACGGCAACTAGCGCCGCAAGAAGAATAACAGCTTTTCCGTACATCTATCAAAAAAAAAAAAAAAAATAGATTAATAACCAGTTAGTATGAGTTAAATTAAAATTACTTACGTCGTGGCTGTGTGGATGATTAGAAGAGTCGTTGAGGAAGTCACACCGCAAATGTTCTGAGGTGCCGAGTGTTGAACTCGCTTTTATATCTGCAGCCGTTTGGAAAAGGGAATCACCGCAGTTTCACACTGATTCACCTTTCTTTGATAAAGTGACAAAGACCCCGCTTGACTGCAGAAGTAATAATTTCACTGAATTTGCGAGACCTAATGACTATAAAAAGCGAAAACTACGTGATTGCAGGTAATCTGAGTCGTCGTAAAACACGTTCGTTTAAACGTGAGTTTCTCGTGAGTGAACAATGGATTTCTCTAGAGTAATGAATTTTTTACGATATGGGGATTGACAGGTGGGAAGTACATTGCCCTGTGAATAAAAACGAGAATTTGTAAGGTACTCAGTAAAATTAGTTGGTCGCAAATGAGAGAATAATTGTCAAGTTTAGGAGATAATTCAGTGTCAAGAGTATTCTGAAATTAATTGATACTTAAAGTAAATAGACAAAAACGTAATAATAAATATTAAACGCCCTAAAAATTATGGCAGTTCAAAGTTGGGTGAATACCCGTGTCAGATTCCTTCAACAACAGCTGCATTTTCGAGACAGAATGCTTCCCACGAACTGGTTGGGTATTCCCATACCAGCTGGCAGCGTTTATGCGGTAAATGTGATTTATTTTGATTAACTGTGATCAGCACTACAATAAGCAACGACCGAACTTCCCTCTGTCTTGAAACACATTCGTCACCTCATGCATCTTAGAAAACATTTTTTTTTAATTAAAGTAACTCAGATTATTTATTAATTATACACATTCACAATATAACAAAAAAAAACGTAGCATAACTGAATATTCATTTAAATTTCGCCCCAGGTAAATTTCCCCTCGATGTACCACGTTTCTTGGCCCTTGTTGAGTCTTTGCGCTTATCCTCGATTTTTATCTGACCCCTCGTATTTCCATCCTCGCTCCTACCAAGATCTGGTTTAAAAACCCACGGACCGTTTTGATTTTGGTTTCCTTACTGGTTATTAGGGTCTTGTTGGACGGACTTCTCTTACAGGATTTGCACATGCAATAATTACCAGAGTTACAAGAACAAAAAGTTGACCGATTTTGACTATTTTAGTTGTTTTAGTATTTGGTTTGTTGTTGTTTGAAGTGTAAAGCAGCTGATAGCGAAAATGAATTTTGTAATTTATTTATTTATAGTGAGTAAAGTGCAGCTGTGGTGCGAACGGTTTTTGGGAATAACCGATGAGCTTGCTAAAAATGTTTTATCTTGAAGATAAAAAGATTTTGTGTGGATAGTTCAATTTGTTTTGAAAGAGGTATTTACAAAGTTTGAGCAGTTAGGCAATTTTTTAAAATTATTATTCACTTTGTTTAATTTTATTAGGTGTCAGTAGTTAGGTGTTGTAGCCTTTTTTTGTGTTCTCGTTTTTTTTTGTGACATTTTTATACACTTTTTGTCGTCTTTCTCCCTCTTGTATAGTGACTACTATTTGTAGTACTTTTTGTCGCCTTTCTTCGTCACCTAAGTCTTTATCTTGACGGCGTGACTTAATTAAACACAAAAAACAAGAATATTTTTATTAATGTAGCCGAGGATATTTTCGTGTTTTTTATTTTATTCTATTTTTGTTTTCGTGTAGAAGTAAATTTCTAATTTGCTATTATTTTTGATGTGCCCTCAAATAAATTAAAATTTTAGGAAATTTGTTAAATTCCTATTAATTCTATAGATTATATCAGTTTTCAGAAGAAAGTTCTTACTTCAGACGAATCAGTAGGTAAATATTTTTTTACAAAAATTCGTAAAATTAACGCTATAACAAAAAATGTTCGTTGGAACAGTAAACACTTGTTTATAATTATATAGTATTATCTTTATTATTATTTGGCACCGCTACTTGATACAAAACTGTTTTCAATTTTACATTATTAACTTACAAAAAATTTAAATAAATAAATAAATTTATACAAAAATCATAAATAAAACAACAGGAACAACTTTCATCGACATTTCCTTCTTCACCACCTGTAGGTACCTCCAACGTGCCAAGTGGGTTTGGCCTTGTTGGGTCCTCGAATAACCTTTCCCCATCCAGCATTAAAGTCGTGGTCTTTTCCTTTGTTTTGAATTTCAATTTGACCTCTGGTGTTTCCTTTATCGTCCCTTCCCAGATCAGGACTCACCTTCCACCCTCCATTTTGCTGGGAAGGTTGAGGGAAATTGGGAGCTCCTCCTTGAAGAGACCGTCTGATGCGATGGATTTCATAGATCTCTTCGGGAGACAATTCCTCGTAAACGTCTTGGACTTCGGGGTCGTACTGGTACTCGGAGTAAGGTATGGCAGAGACGGCAGCTAAGGCCACTAGGAGAATTACGATTTTGCCATACATCTGAAAACAAACGTAATTTTTTACTTTTATTTTTATTTAATTAAAAAATATATCTTCTTACTTTGTAGCTGCCTTGAAGTCTTCGTAATCACTTAATTAGGAAGTGGAAGATTGGACGGTTTAAGATGCTGTGATGAGAGAAGAGCGCTTTCACATTATATAGCTACTACTCTGGATTCGAAAACGGGGATTACCAAAGTTTGTAGCTCTTCTGTACAAAAATTTTAAATATCTTATCACAAATGAGATAATGACTTCATCGTATCATGGGCAGTTACGCTTAACGTTGTAAAAAAGTAAGCGAATAGTTGTTAATTATATACAAGGAATTTCGTTTCACTCAGAGGCTGGGAATTTGCATCAGATTTATTTATTTATTTTTTTTTTGTTGTGGGTGATGAATCAAAAGTTTTGAAATGATAATGAGTTATTTTAGATGTGAAGTACATTGCTCCGGTTCGATGGCACAAAAAAAGCACTCGCATTGTGTAAACTGTTATATGTTTATGAGATATTAGGTGTCAAGGTCGCTTTACATTAATATTAAGTAATTTATGGGGGACTGCTACAAAACACAATATTTTAGATAAAACTTATTACATAAAATTTTAGGGCAGTCGGTTTTGCACTTTTTTAAGTTAAAGTTCATCTTTTTTGCAAAAATCTGGAAATCTAAGGTAAAATGAAAGTCAAGACAGATTCATATACTACAGGTACCGAAATGTAGTACATATTTTATAAAGTTTAAATACCGTTTACTATGCAAAATTTTGAGATGACGTCATTACATTTTTTTGTGATGTGATCAGCCAAATTCTAGTTAGCGTTTTACCATCTACTATATCAATTGAATATTTTTTTGGATCGCGAGTACATGGCCTTATGAGGAATAAGGAAAAAATTTCATTATTTCGAGGACTATAATGACTTCTAAGGCACAAGAAATCGAAAAGACTACGATTTCAAAAAATTCCAAAGATTTTAAAATTTTCAGAAATGATCCCAAGAACAAAAAACTTCAAAAGTAAAGACTGCGAAGTTACAAAAATTGCAAAGAGTACAAATTGCATTCGAGCACTTCAAAAACCCCAAGAACCCAAAGAAGTTCAAAGACTCCAAGGGCTTCAGAGATTGCAAAATTCAAAGAATTTTAAAGCTTTTCAAAATTTCACGAAAATTTTCAAGTTTTACAGGGCCCTGGGGATGATGCAATTTTAGAAGATTTTCACGATTCCCATGTTTCTCAAGAGTAGGTACATTGTTCGTTTAAAATTTCTAGAAATGTAGGACCTCTAGGATTGGCAAGACTTCAAAAAATCCAAAATCCACAAGGATTTTGAAGACTCTAAATCAAAAAATTTAAAAGACAGAATACACATAACAACTTTCGAGAAAAACAAGGGTTCCTAAGAGTCAAAACACATACAGATGCTCTAAACGCTTTCAAAAGTTCCACAGATTTTATAAACTTCAAGAAAAACTCTAAAGGCTTAAGGATTTGGAAAAATTCAAAAGTTCACTAAAGATTGCAAAAACTATATTCTGAAAACAAGTTAAAAATTTCGCAAACAACCTGTCCACTAGTTTCGGAGATTATCCCTAATGAAAAGGCAAAATATAAGCCCCGCCCACCCACCCTATCTCAATTGTGATGATTTGTTTTTATATTCGAGAGCCAAATTGGAACTTAAATACAAAATTCTTAATATTTCTCTACAAGAAATTACCATGTAACACATTTTTTTGAATTTCGTGTTATTCAAAGAATACTAAGAAAAAAGGGGCCAAATATAAGCCCCGCCCACCCGCCCTGTCTCAATTCTGATGATTTTTTTTTGTTCGTCGTAAGCCGAGGGGCGGAGCTTAATTGTAAAATCGATATTTTCTTACAAAAATTTACCATTTTAAATGTGTCTTAAGTTTCTACGAATAAAAAATCCTCACAATTGAAACGGGGTGGGTGGGCGGGGTTTATATTTTGCCTTTTTTTCTTAATATACGTAGTGTCCTTTGAACAACACGATACTCAAAAACATGTTTTAATTTCTTGTAAAGAAATAAGTATTTTGCAGTTAAGCTCCACCCCTCCCTTGGTTCACGGCGAATAAAAAAAATCATCACAATTGAGACAGGGCGGGTGGGCGGGCATACATTTTGCTTTGTAGTTTAAATATGTGTAGACTTCTATTGACAACATGAAACTTAAAACATGTTTAAAATGGCCCCATAATTTCAAAATGCATATTTCCTAACAAAAACCATTTTAACCATGTTTTAAGTTTCTTGTTATGAAAAGATGGCTATGTATATTAAGAAAAAAAGGGACAAATATAAACCCCGCCCACCCGCCCGATCTCAATTCTGATGATTTTTTTTTATACGTCATAAACCGAGGGGCGGAGCTTAATTGTAAAATCGATATTTTCTTACAAAAATTTACCATTTTAAACGTGTCTTGAGTTCCTAAGAATAAAAAAATCCTTACAGTTGAGACGGGGTGGGTGGGCGGGGTTTATATTTTGCTCTTTTTTCTTAATATACATAGTATTCTTTGAAGAACACGATACTCAAAAACATGTTTTTAATTTCTTGTAAAGAAATAAGTATTTTGCAGTTAAGCTCCACCCCTCCCTTGGTTCACGGCGAATAAAAAAAATCATCACAATTGAGACAGGGCGGGTGGGCGGGCATACATTTTGCTTTGTTGTTTAAATATGTGTAGACTTCTATTGACAACATGAAACTTAAAACATGTTTAAAATGGCCCCATAATTTCAAAATGCATATTTCCTAACAAAAACCATTTTAACCATGTTTTAAGTTTCTTGTTATCAAAAGATGGCTATGCATATTAAGAAAAAAAAGGCCAAATATAAGCCCCGCCCACCCGCCCGATCTCAATTCTGATGATTTTTTTTTATTCGTCATAAACCGAGGGGCGGAGCTTAATTGTAAAATCGATATTTTCTTACAACAATTTACCATTTTAAACGTGTCTTGAGTTCCTAAGAAAAAAAAAAATCCTTACAGTTGAGACGGGGTGGGTGGGCGGGGTTTATATTTTGCCCTTTTTTCTTAATATACATAGTATTCTTTAAAGAACACGATACTCAAAAACATGTTTTTAATTTCTTGTAAAGAAATAAGTATTTTGCAGTTAAGCTCCACCCCTCCCTTGGTTCACGGCGAATAAAAAAAATCATCACAATTGAGACAGGGCGGGTGGGCGGGCATACATTTTGCTTTGTTGTTTAAATATGTGTAGACTTCTATTGACAACATGAAATTTAAAACATGTTTAAAATGGCCCCATAATTTCAAAATGCATATTTCCTAACAAAAACCATTTTAACCATGTTTTAAGTTTCTTGTTATGAAAAGATGGCTATGTATATTAAGAAATAAAGGGACAAATATAAGCCCCGCCCACCCGCCCGATCTCAATTCTGATGATTTTTTTTATTCATCGTAAGCCGAGGGGCGGAGCTTAATTGTATAATCGATATTTTCTTACAAAAATTTACTATTTTAAACGTGCCTTGAGTTTCTAAGAATAGAAAAATCCCCACAATTGAAACGGGGTGCGCGGGCGGGGTTTATATTTTGCCTTTTTTTCTTAATATACATAGTATTCTTTGTACAACACGATACTCAAAAACATGTTTTTAATTTCTTGTAAAGAAATAAGTATTTTGCAGTTAAGCTTCGTCCCTTGGTTCACGGCGAATAAAAAAAAATCATCACAATTGAGACAGGGCGGGTGGGCGGGCTTACATTTTGCTTTTTGTTTTAATATCAGTAGACTTCTATTGACAACATGCAACTTAAAACATGTTTAAAATGGCCCCATAGTTGCAAAATCCATATTTCCTTACAAGAACCATTTTAATTATGTTTTAAGTTTCTTGTTATCAAAAGATGGCTATGCATATTAAGAAAAAAAGGGCCAAATATAAGCCCCGACCACCCGCCCCGTCTCAATTCTGATGATTTTTTCTATTCGTCGTAAGCCGAGGGGCGAAGCTTAATTGTAAAATCGATATTTAATTACAAAAATTTACCATTTTAAAGCTGTCTTGAGTTTCTAAGAATAAAAAAATCCTCACAATTGAGACGTGGTGGGTGGGCGGAGTTTATATTTTGCCTTTTTTTTCTTAATATACATAGTAATCTTTGAACAACACGATACTCAAAAACATGTTTTAATTTTCTTGTAAAGAAATAAGTATTTTGCAGTTAAGCTTCGTCTCTTGGTTCACGGCGAATAAAAAAAAATATCACAATTGAGACAGGGCGGGTGGGCGGGTTTATATTTTGCCTTTTTATTTTAATATCTGTAGACTTCAACTGACAACATGAAACTTAAAACATGTTTAAAATGGCCCCATAGTTGCAAAATTCATATTTCCTTACAAAAACCATTTTAACCATGTTTTAAGTTTCTTGTTATCAAAAGATGGCTATGCATATTAAGAAAAAAAGGGCCAAATATAAGCGCTGCCCACCCACCCTTTCGCAATTCTGATGATTTTTTTTTATTCGTCGTAAGCCGAAGGGAGGAGCTTAATTGTAAAATCCTTATTTTTGTACGAGAAATTACCATGTGAAATATGTTCTTAAGTAATTGTGTTATACAAAGAAAACTAAATGTATTAATTAAAAAAGAAAACTAAAAGAGAAGCCCCACCCACCCGTCTCGATCGCAACCGTGATGAATTTTTCATTCGTTGTCAGACCGAGGGGCGGAGCGTAATTGCAAAATCGATATTTCCCTATACAAATTTACGATTTTAAACACGTTTTAGTTTCTTGTTGTGAAAAGATGACTAGGTATACATATTAAGAAAAAAATGCAAAATGTAACCCCGCCCACCCGCCCTATCTCAATTGCGATGATTTTTTTATTCGTCGTGAACCAAGGGGAGAAGCTTAATTGCAAAATCCTTATTTCTCTACAAGAAATAAAAAACATGTTTTTGAGTATCGTATTGTTGAAAGAATAATACCTATCTTTATTGAGAAAAAAACAAGCCAAAATTTAACCCCCACCCATATCCATCCTAAGATCAATTTTGAATGAAAGGGGCGAAGTCTAATTGCAACATCGATACTTTCCTACAAAAATTTACCATTTTAAAAATGAAATAATTTCATTTATTGCCCTGGAACGATGGTCTAGTTCTTCATAAAATTTATTAAGACATTATTGCAATTAAGTCCGTCGGCCGACTCTCTACTTTTACATTTCTCGACCTTTCATGACCCCTAGAATACGAGGAAATAGGCTTCCCGTTTCCGTCTGTCTGTGTCTGTCCGTCTGTCTGTCTGAAGTTCAGTAACCTTACACAAATCTTTTCTTCTGAATAAATAGACCCCTTTTTAATATCTAGATTTCGGTATCTTTTAAAATATACAGTATATCACAGGATTAAGAGCTTTTTTTACTTTTTATTTTAAATAAAAAACTAAACGGAATAGAAATTTGCCTTGGCTTAAAACAAGCATCTCACCTACAAAAACGTTTAAATAATGCAGATTTTTTAAATAAATACATTTTTATCCAGATCATTTAATCAAAAAAATCTCAATTTTTGTAATGTAACAACTAAATCGGCCCGGTCGAGTTTTTGTAAAATTTTTGGAATATCAACGTCATAAATAAGAAGAGTTACATATCTACTAATAAACTTTATTCATAAAATAAAAAATAAATAAACGATAGGAACAAATTCAACCAACATTTCCTTCTTCACCACCTGTAGGTTCCCCCAACGTGCCACGTGGGTTTGGCCTTGTTGGGTCCTCGAATCACTTTTCCCCATCCAGCATTAAAGTCGTGGTCTTTTCCTTTGTTTTGAATTTCAATTTGGCCTCTGGTGTTTCCTTTATCGTCCCTTCCCAGATCAGGGCTCACCTGCCATCCACCATTTTGCTGGGAAGGTTGAGGGAAATTGGGAGCTCCTCCTTGAAGAGAACGTCTGATCCGATGGATTTCATAGATCTCTTCGGGAGACAATTCCTCGTAAACGTCTTGGACTTGGGGGTCGTACTGGTACTCGGAGTCAGGTATGGCAGAGACGGCAGCTAAGGCCACTAGGAGAATTACGATTTTGGCATACATCTGAAAGCAAACGCAATTTTTTACTATTATTTTTATTTAATTAAAAAATATATATTCTTACTTTGTAGCTGCCTTGAGGTCTTCGTAATCACTTAATTAGTATGTGGAAGATTGGACGGTTTAAGATGCTCTGATGAGAGAAGAGCGCTTTCACATTATATAGCCACTACTCCGGATTCGAAAAAGGGGATTACCAAAGTTTGTAGCTCTTCTGTACAAATGTCTTATCATAAAAGAGATAATTATTTCATCCTATCAGTGGGTAATTACGCTTAACTGTTGTAAAAAGTAAGTGAATAGTTGTTAATTGTATAATACAAGGAATTCCATTTCACTCAGAGATTGGGAATTTGCATCAGATTTATTTATTTATTTTTTTTTGTTATGAATGATGAATCAAGAGTTTTAAAATGATAATGAGCAATTTTAGATGTGAAGTACATTGCTCCGGTTTGATGCGACAAAAAAAACACTCGCATTGTGTAAACTGTTATATGTTTATGAGATGTTAGGTGTCAAGGTCGCTTTACATTAATGTTAAGTAAGTTATAGGAGACCACTACAAAACACAATATTTTAGATAACATTTATTAACTATATGAAATTTTAGGGCAGTCGGTTTTGCATTTTTTAAGTTAAAGTTCATCTTCTTTGCAAAGATTTGTATTTGTAAATCTAAGGTAAAATAAAACTCAAGGCAGATTCATACACCACAGGTATATGAATGTGCCACTATATGTATTATTTTATAAAGTTTAAATAGCATTTACTACGCAAAATTTTGAGATGACGTTACTACATTTTTAGTGAGGTGATCAGTCAAATTTTAGTTAGCGCTTTACCATCTACTATATCAGTTGACTAAATTTGTTTTTTTTTTTTGGATCCCGCAAATATTACGAGAATTCTCAAGTTTTCGAGGGTCATGGAGATATTGGAATTTTAGAAGATTTTCTCGATTCCCAAGTTTCTCCAGAGTACATGGTTCGCTTAAAATTCCTAGAAAAATAGGACCTGTAGGACTTGCAAAACTTCAAAAAATCCATAATCCACAAAGATCCCAAAGACTGGAACTCAAAAAATTTAAAAGACAAAATAATCTTTAAAACTTCGAGGAATAACAAGAGCTCCTAGGAGTCAAACACTTACAGATACTCTAAAAGCTTTCAAAAATTCCACAGATTTTAAAAACTAAGAAAAAAGGCAAAATGTAGCCCCGCCCACCCTATCTCAATTGTGTTGATTTTTTTTATTCGTCGTGAGCCAAGGGGACGGAACTTAACTGCAAAATCCTTATTTCTCTACGAGAAATTAAAAACATGTTTTTGAGTATCTTATCTTTTATTTTGCAGTTAAGTTTCGTTCCTTGGTACACGGCAAATAAAAAAAATCATCAGAATTGAGACAGGGCGGGTGGGCGGGCTAACATTTTGCCTTTTTGTTTTAATATCTGTAGACTTCTATTGACAACATGAAACTTAAAACATGTTTAAAATGGCCCCATAGTTGCAAAATCCATATTTCCTTACAAAAACTATTTTAACCGTGTTTTGAGCTTCTTGTTATGGAAAGATGGCTATGTATATTAAGAAAAAGGGGCCAAACATAAGCCCCGCCCACCCACCCCATCTCAATTCTGATGATTTTTTTTTTATTCGTCATAAGCCGAGGGGCGGAGCTTAATTGTAAAATTAATAGTTTCTTACAAAAATTTACCATTTTAAACATGTCTTGAGTTTCTAAGAATAAAAAAATCCTCACAATTGAGACGGGGTGGGTGGGCGGGGTTTATACTTCGCCTTTTTTTTTCCTAGTATACATAGTATTCTTTGAACAACACGATACTCAAAAACATGTTTTTAATTTCTTGTAAAGAAATAAGTATTTTGCGGCTAAGCTTCGTCCCTTGGTTCACGGTGAATAAAAAAAAATTATCACAATTTAGACAGGGCGGGTGGGCGGGCTTACATTTTGCCCTTTTGTTTTAATATCTGTAGACTTCTATTGACAACATGAAATTTAAAACATGTTTAAAATGGCTCCACAGTTGCAAAATCCATATTTCCTTACAAAAACCATTTTAACCATGTTTTTAAGTTTCTGGTTATCACAAGATGGCTATGCATATTAAGAAAAAAAAGAGCCAAATATAAGCCCCGCCCACCCGCCCGATCTCAATTCTGATGATTTTTTTTATTCGTCGTAAGCCGAGGGGCGGAGATTAATTGTAAAATCGATATTTTCTTACAAAAATTTACCATTTTAAATGTGTCTTAAGTTTCTAAGAATAAAAAAATCCTCACAATTGAGACGGGGTGGGTAGGCGGGGTTTATATTTTGCCTTTTTTTCTTAATATACATAGTATTTTTTGAACAACACGATACCCAAAAACATGTTTTTAATTTCTTGTAAAAAAATAAGTATTTTGCAGTTAAGCTCGATCCCTTGGTTCACGGCAATTAAAAAAAAATTATCACGATTGAGAGAGGGCGGGTGGGCGGGCTTACATTTTGCCTTTTTGTTTTAATATGTGTAGACTTCTATTCACAACATGAAACTTAAAACATGTTTAAAATGGCCCCATAGTTGTAAAATCATTTTAACCATTTTAACCATGTTTTAAGTTAATTGTTATCAAAAGATGGCTATGTATATTAAGAAAAAGAGCCAAATATAAGCCCCGCCCACCCGCCCTCTCTCAATTCTGATGATATTTTTTATTCGTCGTAAGCCGAAGGGAGGAGCGTAATTTCAAAATCGATATTTCCTTATACAAATTTACGATTTTAAACATGTTTTAAGTTTCTTGTTGCGAAAAGATGACTATATTACATATTAAGAAAATGGGGAGGAGCTTAATTGCAAAATCCTTATTTCTCTACAAAAAATAAAAAACATGTTTTCGAGTATTGTATTGTTGAAAGAATACCATGTATACTTAGAAAAAAACAAACCAAAAATTAAGCCCGACACATATCCATCCCAAGATCAATTGTGATGAATTTTTCATTCGTCGTCAAACCATTTTAAAAATGAAATAATTTCATTTATTGCCCTGTAACGATGGTCTAGCTCTTCGTAAAATTTATTAAGTCATTGTTGTAATTAAGTCCGTCTCTACTTTTACATTTCTCGACTTTTCATGACCCCTAGAGTACGAAGAAATAGGCCTCCCGTTTCCGTGTGTCTGTGTGTCTGTCTTACAAATTTTTGCTTCTGAATAAATAGACTTTTTAAATATCTAGATTTCGGTATTTTTTAAAATATGCAGTATATCACAGAATCAAGAGCTTTTTTTTATTTTCTATTTTAAAGAAAAACTAAACGGAAAAGAAATTGACTTAAAACAAGCATTTCGCCTACAAAAATGTCTAAATAATGCAGATTTTTTAAATAAATATATTTTTATCCAGATAATAATAATTTAATCAAAATTTGCAAAATGTAAATATGAACGTCATAAATAAGAAGAGTTACATTTCTACTAATAATCTTTATTCATAAAATAAAAAATAAATAAACAATAGGAACAACTTCAATCAACATTTCCTTCTTCACCACCTGTAGGTTCCTCCAACGTGCCACGTGGGTTTGGCCTTGTTGGGTCCTCGAATCACTTTTCCCCATCCAGCATTAAAGTCGTGGTCTTTTCCTTTGTTTTGAATTTCAATTTGACCTCTGGTGTTTCCTTTATCGTCTCTTCCCAGATCAGGGCTCACCTGCCACCCTCCATTTTGCTGGGAAGGTTGAGGGAAATTGGGTGCTCCTCCTTGAAGAGAACGTCTGATACGATGGATTTCATAGAGTTCTTCGGGAGAATATTCCTCGTAAGCGTCCTGGACTTCGGGGTCGTACTGGTACTCGGAATAAGGTATGGCAGAGACGGCAGCTAAGGCCACAAGAAGAATTGAGATTTTGGCATACATCTGAAAAATTTGAAAAACAAGTTAGTCTACGTGTTTTTTATATGTGTAAAATATTCTTACTTTGTGTGATTGTTGACTCTACTGGTTGGACAGCTGAAGACGATGTGGTGTGAAAAGAGAGTTTCAGTTTATATATTCACCACTTTAAACTAAGAAAGGGGATTACCAAAGAAATCCGAAGTTTTTTATCACAGAAAAGATAATGTTTTCACTGAGTTCGTGAGCAATTACGCTTAACTGTTGTAATAAACAAATATGTGTTAATTGTAAACAAAAATTACAGACAAAGCGTACGCACAGTTGAATAGATAATGAGTTACAGTTGATGTGAAGTACATTGCTCCGGAAAAAAAGTAGATGCATGTGGAATTTATTATTATTAGAGTGAATAAGAAACGTTAGGTGTCAAGGTCGCCTTATGCTGATATTAATAAATAATAAGTTATATTTAGCACTTTTGTTAAATGTAGGTAAGTATTTTGTAATTAAAATTTTCTTCACTTAACCAAATATAAACTATTTACATAATTTATTATCCTTATGTTTGAAACTAACACAAACAATTCGTCCTGAGTGAAGTTTTTGAAAAAAAAAACTGATTTATTATTATTAATTTATTATTTAATCATTCACGGATACACTTAGTAAAAACCAGATGTTATACCATGCAAGCATATACAACAACAACATTTGCAAATACTTTGTTTACATTCTGTGATATCGGGTTTATTTTTGTCGAAAAAACCATTATAATCATTATAAGATAAACTTCTGTGGTAATCAAAAATGCATTACAGCTCATTCGGACATCCCCGATTCCCAGCCTCACAAGTGTTCGACTTTCTCTATCACCACAAGCATGTATAAAATCGACGAAATGTTGATACTTTTTATCAGTCCGTAGTGAACCCGTCTAAACAACATCAAATCGCCAATCTTAATCCAAAATGCTCAAAATCAGCACTTTCCTTCTGGTTGCACTCGTTGCAGCCACCTCTGCATTAATTCCGTCCCACGAATACTATTTCCGACAAAATTCGCCGTACCAACAACACCGACATCAACTCGACCTCCATGATGAAGCCCAATCACCAGCTCTCATCGCCGGAGAATTCTATCGAGTTAGACGGTCTCCTCAACAGTTTGAAGATGTTTATGAAGAGTACTCTCCAGAAGAAGGTTACGAGTTGGAGCGCGTCAGGCGTTCTCTCCAACCTGGTGGTGCTGGGGTACCCAACGGCCCTCAACAAAATGGTGGATGGTCGGTAAACCCCAATCTTGGACGGGACGATAGCGGAAACACCAGAGGGAATGTTGAAGTTAGCCATAAAGGAAAAGACCACGACTTTAATGCAGGATGGGGGAAAGTCATTCGCGGACCCAACAAGGCCAAACCCACTTGGCACGTTGGAGGAACGTACAGGTGGTGAAGAAATTTAGCTTTGTAAAACAATTTATTTATTTATTTATTTATTTATTTACAAATTACGAAGTTTTTGAACAGGGAATGTCTTCCTTTGGTTGATCTGTTACAATAAGCAGTAGTCCGGTTATAATAATAAACATGCCTGACCACCATATTAAAGTTGTTATTTCTCCAAAAATAAAAAACCCAGTGATAGCCTTAAAAATTAATAAAATCAATAACGAAATTACAACCACATCTATAAACTTACAGACATACAATAGTTAGAGGCTGCACTAATCACAGTTGCTGTTAGAGATGATTCCACGTTTTGTAATGCCTTAACAAATAGTGTCCATACTCCTGCATTACAAATTAACATAAAAATGAAGAATAATACTCTTACGATAAATAATCCCTACAAATATAATAAACTCACAAAGAAATTCATACTTTTCAAACAAAATTATTTACCTCGAACATAGGCAACCCAGACAACTTCCCGAATATACTGGCTGCCGAAGCACAACAACCGCTGAAAACAGCATATTTAACGCTCCCACTCATCATCTTTGTACCGTTTTTCTCTTAACAAGTTAAAATTCGATAAATTAGATCTACGTTACACATTTTTGTTCAATTAAGTACAATAATAGCGGTCTCTGTTGTGTTTTGTGCATGACAACCATTTCTAACCTATACAATGTACAAACAATATTTACCAACTTTTAATACTTTGTCAGGTACAGAACACACTGAATTTACGTATTTTGCATTTATTCGGTACTTTTCCAGTGGTGGTGATGCTTATTACACTCGAACATTATCGAATTCTTATCATTTTCACATTTTTTTGGTTGACAGTAGTGTGTGATTGTCAGAGCAATTTGACATTTAAGTAATAAAGCTCTACCGTATCGATTAAGCTGTGGTTATGGCGAGCGAATCCACGTGTTGCTTTACATAACAAAGAGAATGCGTCTGATGGAGAGCTCTTTGTTGGCGTTACTACTGGTTCTGTTATTTACTCGGTTTGGGTTCTTTGTGCACTGTATGCATTTTAATGTATTCATTTTCTGTATTATTTTTTTGTGTCAAGAATAAATTAACCTGAAATAAATAATGTTGTAATTTAGTTTTGGAGTCACAACTCTCAATTTAACTAAACACTAGTCTATTATTTTACAGAAATGTTTAATAGTTATTATATAACTCAGCAGCGATATAGTTTAAGTGACATGGTTTATAGCAGCTAATAAATTTCTGTGAGAGTACGTTTTCACGACTTTGTCCAGAAGATAATAATCACGGCATCATGGGAATACTCTGCAGTCGCTGATAAATTTAATGCGCACTTTATTATCCACTTTTTTCTTGCAGATACTGCAAGTATTTTTTTCTACGATCTTCCAAGTCATTTCCACTTCCACTTTTCAAATGGTATCTAGCAGCAGATTAACACCTTAGACTGTTGTTTCATCGATGGAAATAAGCGAACATATAACACTTTAAAAGTCAAGAATAGACAACTGTTCCACACGGAAGTGTCAAAACTAAAATAAAAATAAATACAATATAAATAGAATTAAAACTGCGAAAGCAATAAAAACACGATCAAAAATAGCCATTGATTTTTCATGATTTGTCTTTGATTGAATTTTCGTCTTGTCAGATCACGGTCAATTTGAAAGTTTGAGTTGTAAGTGCAACGATCGAAGACAAACCTGTCATTTTTGACTATAGTTTTCATTATTAGTTAATATGCAATCAAATCCAAGTTTAATGCTACACTGAAACGATTTTTTGTGTTGGCAATCCTCAATTATTGATAGGAATACTAGTATGTCAGTTCACACTTTTCAATTTTGACATGAGCGTACCCAATCAACGTGCTGAGAAGATGGCAGCCACTAACCTGGTGTTGTAAATGTCAATTTGGTAATCAGGTCAGGTCAGGTCAAATTTTAAATATATCGCCAATCTGATGAAAAAATTTCGAACGTTAATAGTCACTCGATATAGAAAACAACACGAAAACTTCTATTCTTGTGCCCTTATTTTTTTTTAGTACTGAAGATGCTTTTTAAACAATATTATCAAAATATATTTATTTCTCGAAAAAAAAACCAAATGGGTTTTTATAAAAGTACTGGCACAAATGAACAATCCATTTTTAGTTCAAGTCAGTAGCATTTATCTACACATTTAAATTATTATGACACAATTTTCGAGGAAAGAAGTGTCTATTTTAAATGATTGACAGAATCTCGAGAGCCATGAATGTCATTTTTAAATTATTATGACAGAATTTGCCCCCCCCCCCCATACATTAACTGTCGTATTGCTGAAATAAAACTATATCCATATTAAGAAAAAGAATCCTTGTTTAATTAAGCCCTACCCACCCGCCCTTCTCTATATTGACGAATTTTTCATTTGTTGTCAGATCGAGGGGCGGCGTTTAATTGCAAAATTCATATTTGTTTGATTCTCTAAAAAGATTATTAAAGAATCTTGGGGGTCCCGAGTGACTTTTTTGAGAGGACTATGGAGGAATCTCGGGAATCGAATAAAAAAGTCGTCTAGTAACCTATGAAATTTTTTTAATAATTAAAAATGTGTTTATCCAATGCGTTCATGACCTACTATACGGAACTTAAGGAATCTCAAAAATTCAAGGAAACTAAAAATCTAAGGAATGACAAGAATTTAAAAAAGTATAACATCCAAAGAAATCAAGAAATACAGAAAGAAATCCAAAGGATTAAAAAAATTCAAGAAGAAATATCGATTGAGTAAAAAAGTCGTCTAATAACCTATGAAATTTAATGTTACTGGACGACTTCTTTCCATCATATGATACACGGAATTCAAGGAAACTAAAAAACCTAAGGAATGTGATGAATTCAAATATCTAAAAAAACATTCAAAGAAATCAAGGAATCTAAGAAGAAATCCAAAGAATATTATTTTTTAATCTAAGGAATCTAGAAGAAATTCAAAGAATTAAAAAAAATCTAAAAAACCCAAGGAATCCAAGGAGAAATACCGGTCGAATAAAAAGTCGTTTAGAAACCTATGAAATTTAATGTTAAAAATCATCCAAAGAAATCAAGGGATCCAAGAAGAAACCTACTGAATCAAGAAAAAATAAAAATCCAAGGAATCAAATAAGAAATCAAAAGAAAAAAAAATCTAAATGATCCAGGGAATCTAAGGAAAAATACCGGTCGAATAAAAAAGTCGTCTAGAAACCTATGAAATTTAATGTTACTGGACGATTTTTTTTCATCATATGATATACGGACTTCAAGGAAACTAAAAAACTTAAGAAATGTGATGAATTCAAATAACCAAAAAACACCAAAGAAATCAAGGAATCTAAGAAGAATTCCAAAGAATTTTTTTTTTAATCCAAGGAATCAAGAAGAAATCCAGAGAATTAAAAAAAATGCAAAAAAACCAAGGAATCCAAGGAGAAATACCGGTCGAATAAAAAAATCGTTTAGAAACCTATGAAATTTAATGTTAAAAAACATCCAAAGAAATCAAGGGATCCAAGAAGAAACCTACTGAATTACGAAAAAATAAAAAACCCAAGGAATCAAATAAAAAATCCAAAGAATTAAAAAATCTAAAGGATTCAGGGAATCTAAGGAAAAATACCGGTCGAATAAAAAAGTCGGCTAGAAACATATGAAATTTAATGTTACTGGACGATTTTTTCCCATCATATGATACACGGAATTGAAGGAAACTAAAGCCTAAAAAATGTGATGAATTCAAATATCCAAAAAACATCCAAAGAAATCGAGGAATCTAAGAAGAAATCCAAAGAATATTTTTTTTAATCTAAGGAATCAAAAAGAAATCCAAGGAGAAATACCGGTTGAATAAAAAAATCGTTTAGAAACCTATGAAATTTAATGTTAAAAAACATCCAAAGAAATCAAGGGATCCAAGAAGAAACCTACTGAATTAAGAAAAAATAAAAAACCCAAGGAATCAAATAAAAAATCTAAAGAATTAAAAAATCTAAAAGATTCAGGGAATCTAAGGAAAAATACCGGTCGAATAAAAAAGTCGTCTAGAAACCTATGAAATTTAATGTTACTGGACGATTTTTTTCCATCATATGATACACGAAATTGAAGAACCTAAGGAATGTGATGAATTCAAATATCCAAAAAACATCCAAAGCAATCGAGGAATCTAAGAAGAAATCCAAAGAACATTTTTCTTAATATAAGCAATCAAGAAGAAATCCAAAGAATTAAAAAAAATCCAAAGAACCAAAGGAATCCAAGGAGAAATACCGGTCGAATAAAAAAGTCGTTTAGAAACCTATGAAATTTAATGTTAAAAATCATCCAAAGAAATCAAGGGATCCAAGAAGAAACCTACTGAATCAAGAAAAAATAAAAAATCCAAGGAATCAAATAAGAAATTCAAAGAACTAAAAAAATCTAAAAAACCCAGGGAATTTAAGGAAAAATACCGGTCGAATAAAAAAGTCGTCTAGTAACCTATGAAATTTAATGTTACTGGACGACTTTTTTCCATCATATGATACATGGAATTCAAGGAAACTAAAAAACCTGAGTAATGTGATGAATTCAAATATCCAAAAAACATCAAAAGAAATCAAGGAATCTAAGAAGAAATCCAAAGATTTTTTTTTTAATCTAAGGAATCAAGAAGAAATCCAAAGATTAAAAAAAAATATAAAAAACCCAAGGAATCCAAGGAGAAATACCGGTCGAATAAAAAAATCGTTTAGAAACCTATGAAATTTAATGTTAAAACACATCCAAAGAAATCAAGGAATCTAAGAAAAAATCCAAAGAATATTTTTTTTGAATCCAAGGAATCAAGAAGAAATTCAAAGAATTAAAAAAAATCTAAAAACCCAAGGAATCCAAGGAGAAATACCGGTCGAATAAAAAAATTCGTTTAGAAACTTGTGAAATTTAATGTTAAAACACATCCAAAGAAATCAAGGGATCCAAGAAGAAACCTACTGCATTAAGAAAAAATAAAAAATCCAAGGAATCAAATAAGAAATCCAAAGAACTAAAAAAATCTAAAAAACCCAGGGAATCTAAGGAAAAATACCGGTCGAATAAAAAAGGCGTCTAGTAACCTATGAAATTTAATGTTACTGGACGACTTTTTTCCAACATATGATAGACGGAATTGAAGGAACCCAAAAAATTCAAGGAAACAAAAAACTTAAGGAATGTGATGAATTAAAAAATCCAAAAAACATCCTAAGAAATCAAGGAATCCAAGAAGAAATCCAAACAATATTTTTTTTAATCTAAGGAATCAAGAAGAAATCCAAAGAATTAAAAAAATGCAAAAAAATCCAAGGAATCCAAGGGGAAATACCGGTTGAATAAAAAAATCGTTTAGAAACTGATGAAATTTAATGTTAAAAAACATCCAAAAAACTCAAGGTACCCAAAAAATTCAAGGAAATAAAAAACTTAAGGAATGTGGTGAATTCAAAAATCCAAAAAGCATCCAAAGAAATCAAGGAATCCAAGAAGGAATCCAAAAAATTAAAAAAAGAAACAAAAAACCAAGGAGAATCCAAGGAGAAATACCGTTTGAATAAAAAAGTCGTCTAGTAACCTATGAAATTTAATATTAAAAACGTATTTGTAAGACCAACGCGTTCGTGGCCTACTAGACGGAATTCAAGGAATCCACAGAATTAAAGGAAACTCAAAAATCTAAGGAATGTGATGAATTTAAAAATCCTAAGAAATACAGGAATTCAAGAATTAATCCAAGAAATATTTTTTTTTAATCAAAAAATCCAACAACCCAAAGAATTAAAAAAAATCTAAAAACCCAAGGAATCCAAGGAAAAATACCGGACGATTAAAAAAGTCATCTAGAAACCTATGAAATTTAATGTTAAAAAAAATTATTGGTAACACCAACCCGTTCATGGGCTACTAGACGACTTTTTTTCCATCATGTGGTACACGTATTTCAAGGAAACGAGAAACCTAAGGAATGTGAAAAATTTTAAAATCTAAAACGTCCAAAAGAATTAGAAGATCCAAAAAGAAATCCATCAATTAAAAAAAATAGTAATAAAAATCCCAGAAATCAAAGGAGAAATATCGGTCGAATAAAAAAATCGTCTAGTAACTTATGAAATTTAATATTACTGGACGATTTTTTCCATCATATGGTACACGGAATTCAAGTAATCCAAAGAATTCAAGGAAACTAAAAAACTTAAGAAATGTGATGAATTTAAAAATCCAAAAAACACCCAAAGAATGAAAAAAATCTAAAAACCTAAGGAATCCTAGAAGAAATACCGCTCGAATGGAAAAGTCATCTAAAAACCTATGAAATTTAAAACATTTTATTGGAAGCACCAACGCGTTCATGGCCCGCTAGATAGATGATGTTCTTTCCATCAAATAGTGCACGGAATTCACAGAATCCAAAGAATTCAAGGAAACTAAAAAACCTAGGCAATGTGAAGAATCTAAAAATGCAAATTTTCCAAAAAAAAATTATCAAGGAATTCAAGAAGAAATCCAAAAAATAAAAAAAAAGTTTCCAATTTTCTTTATAGAGATATACCTATATATTAGGAATATCATGTAAAACGCTAACCAAAATTTGGCTAATTATCCCCGTCAACTGACTGACGTTATCACCAAAGTTTACAATAATAAATAGGTTTTAATTTCATAAAATAAGATACTCACTCACTTCGCTTATGCTCGGGAAGTAAAAATCAAAATTGTATAACAAGAATTTACAGTTTAACTTTTAAACTCTAAAATTAAATGCTCTGAAATCACAAAAAATAAAATGCCAAAATAAAATCTTATAATTTTTCGAAGAAGCTGGAGAGTAATGTCGAAATACTCTTGGACCTATTTTTAAAATAATGGTAATTTATAAAATCAAACAAGCGACGCTTTAATGTTATTAGTTATATTTTTAACGTTAAGTTTCAAAGCCTGCTAGAGAACTTTTTTTCGATTATATGGTATAACTAGTATTTTATTACAGAGTGGATTCGATATTGTCCATCTTTTGGTAACTTCCAGAAATTTTAACTTATGGTTTCATGGGGTAGGGGCTTCAGCTCTTGACTTTTAGGTAGTAAAATTTTATTAATGTGCAAAAACAGCGTGTTTCCAACATATGTTCTTCCAGTTTTTTTTGTTTGTAAGTAACACAGGTGTCAGAAAAAATATATAATTGATAAATCTATCAACAAAAGGGTTTAAAAATTATTCGTCACATATCTTTCCTAAACCTTGCTGATAAATACCGAGTGTTAAATTTTTATAGCCTAAGTTTCGTGTGCTGCGATAAAGTTAGGACTTCTCTAACTATCTATCGAAGGCATGCAAATTACCCAAACCGAACTTCATTACAAGTTACTTCGGCAACCACTTTCCCAGCCCAAATTTCCACGAACACACGGCAACATCACCTCGAATTCGCGGCATGCTCCCAATCCAAATGCAAATCGCACACATCCCATCTCTAATTATAACCCCTAGCACCATTTGCATGTAGCAGAGCCCGCGTCTGCACTCGTCATCAGGGCCAAAAAACGCATCATCATTATGCAGAGGAAGCCCGCCCCCCAACCCGCCCCCGTCAGCCCCGGCCCGCCCTCCTGGACACCGCCGACTTCTTCCCTCGGGCTGATAACCCGTAACGGAAGCCGTAACGGTCCAAGTTCCTCCGACCGTTTGCGCGCGACTTGATCGACGCGGTACGAGCGCGCAGGTAGTTAGTGAAAGAACGCAAACTAGTAAAATGCAGTGGAGCTTATCCGAAAACCGTTCTCTGTGCAACACGCTGCACTCGACACATCTGCAATGTTTTCGCGATGAAATGGCCAAAATAACGCCAAAATGTGCACTGTGGTAGGACTCGAGCCGTGCGCGAATTCTCCAAGTGGACTTTCAGTGACGACTGCGATGTGTAGGACTTAAAAATGCGGCTAACCTGTTTCGAAAGGTGAGAAAAGTTTTTCAAATTTTTGGTCGGGGTTAAGGCGGTAGTCGGTTTTGGAGTTGTTTGCGGACTTGTTGGGGCTTTTTGCGGCGGGATAAAGCGAGTAATAACGTAATTTATCTCCTTTTTTATAACCTGTATTGTATGTGTCCACGTTTGTCATCTTATCACTGTCATGAAGATTACACTTTATTTGTGGATTCGGGGGAATTATGTGTGTTTTCGGTGAAATTGTGCTGTTTGAGTTGTAAGAGTTGGTTTTAGTTGGTTAAGAGTTCAAACAGTTCCGGAAGTATTTGAACTATTCGTACCTAGTTGGCATTGGAACTTCCCGAAACTTACGTAAGTTTGATAGAGTTCGTTTGGCAGTTTTTGTTTTATCTGTACTGGTTTAAAAGCGTGGTGTCAGTCATTTTGGCGATTGTTTTTGATTGAAAACTTGGACAGTTGCGTACATTTAGCGGCAAAATAATTGCCTGTGACATCATCACAGTTTACAACTACACATGTGTGACCGATTGAAAAAACGGATAACTTGATGCTTACGAGTGGTAATAGTAATTCGCAGTGTTTCAAATTTAATTTACAGGGTGTATTAATAATTACTACGCTTTCATAAATGATCCAACATCCAGTGTAACCATAGTGGCAACTGTAATCAACGAAAGTTCAAATGTCGTAATTATTCTGACAGATGACATACAAACAAAGTTAATTAAAGTGGCAAAACTGCAAGATATTTACCTAAATTTCACAGGTCACTGGGTGTAAGGAACGTTTATGAAAGTTCTGCATAATTATTTGTCATATATTCAAATGTGTCAGTTGAAATAAGTAATGCCAACTATTAGCACAGAACTTTTTATTTTTGGAATGTTTAGTATTGAAAGTACGCGATTGGCAACAATTTGGTCAGAATGTCATTGTGGAAGTAGGTTTTTTGGAAATCTAGTTTCCTAAGATTGTTTTACCTTTCAAAAATAAAAGTAACCATAAAGTGGTTGCACACGTACTATGTTAAATAGTGAACATTTGAATCTCTGTTTTTGCTGTAAAATAAACACAAATCCTTTCAATCCGGTGACATATTAAATGTTTTAAAAGATAAAGATATCTAGATTGAAAACAAGTCTCTATTTATTTCAGTAATTTCCTGTTTCATAAATAATAATGAACCCGATAGAAAAAAACTAATTGCAACAATAAGTACAAAAATTGGTGTAAGGTTATTTAGACAGAACTTCCCACGCCCCTGTAATACAGTCCGATACATCCGGGTTCTATAAAAAGTGTAAAATTCAATTTTTGCGGTAACCTGAATGAATTAAAAAAATATAAATTTATATTAGTAGCAAAGGTTATAAAAACTCAAGGCGGTTTCATTAACCACAAGTACAAGAGTATGCAATTTTTTAAAATTTAAATGTATATAGAGTTCTACTATAGTGTAAACTTATACGACTACAACTTTCAATGCTTTTATTGTCTACAATGATTAGTGGAATGAACACCATTTGACGAATGAGAAATTTCGTGTCTTTTTCGACGTTTCATGGCTCTAGGAATATAAAAAAGTAGGTCCTCCGTTCTTCTATACTGTTAGCAGTTTTCATATATAGATAATCTCCGAAACTATTGGACAGGTTGTTAGGAAATTTTCAATTAGTTTTCTGAATATAGTTTTTGTCATGCTTTAGTGAATTTTTGAAGTTTTTGGAGCCCTTCAAGTTTTTAAACTTTGTGTAAATTTTGAAGGTTTTAGACTTTTTGGAAGTGTTTCGACTTTTAGGAGCCCTTGTTATTCTTGAAAGTTTTAAAAGTGTATTTTGTCTTTTAAATATTTTGAGCTAGAGTCCTTCGAATTCTAGATTTTGGATTTTTTTAAACTGAAACACCGAAAAATTAGAAAACGGAAGAAAAACTGAAGAATTGAAAAATTCAAAAATCCCAAGATCGAAACATTGGAAAATCGAGAACTCGAATCAAAAACCTGAAAAATCGAAAAATTTAAGAATTGAAAAATCGAAACATTGGAAAGTCAAGAAATTGAGAAGTAAGGAAATCAAAAATGCGTTTAATTCAGAAATTAAAAAATCGAAAAATTGAAAAATCGTAAAACTGAAACATCGAAAAACCAAAGTCGTGAAAAATCGAAAAATTGCAAAATCCCGATACTGAAATTTCGAAAAACTGAGTACATAATTGAAAAATTGAGTACATAATAGAAAAATTGAGAATATAATGGAAAAATTGAGTATATAATCGAAACATTCAAAGTCGAGAAACCAAAAAATTGAAAAATCGAAAAATTTTAAAACCGAAAACTTGAAAATTCGAAAATTTAACAATTTCAAAAATTGAAAAACTGAACAATCAAGAAATCCAATTGAAGAATTGAAGAATCGAGAAATCGAAAAATGTAAAATTTAAATGTCGGAAAATTGAATAATCGACAAAATCGAAACATCAAAAGATCGCAAAATTTAAAAATCCAAAATTTAAAAATCGAAAAAGTAAAAAATTGTCAAATCGAGAAGTCGAAAAACTGAAGAATCGCAAAAATGAAAAATACCAAAACCGAAACACCGAAAAATTGAGAAGTCGAAAAATTGGAAAATCAAAGCCAAAAAATAGGAAAATCAAAAACCGGAAAGATCGAAAAATTGAAGAATTGAAAATTTGAAAAATCCTAAAACTGAAACATCAGAAAATTGAGAAATCGAAAAATTAAGAAATCGAGAAATCGAAAATTTGAAGAATCGAGAGAGTGAAGAATAAAAAAATTGGAAAATCCCAATACTGAAATATCGAAAAATTGAAAAATCAAAAAATCAAATCAACATCAGTCGAGAAGTTGAGAAACCCAAAAATTTAATAACATGAAAAATTGAAATACTGAAAAATCTAATTTAAACATCGAAAAATTGAAAAATCATAAAACCGAGATCAAAAAACTAAGAAACCGAAAAATAAAAAATCAAGAAATCGAAAATTTGAAGAACCGAGAAATTGAAGAATCAAAAAATTGAAAAATCCCAACACTGAAATATCGAAAAATTGAGTAATGGAAAAATTGAAAATTGAGAAATTGAAAAATGAAGTCGAAAAATTGAAAAAAAAATCAAGAACCTGAATATCGAAAAATTGAATAACCGAAAAACTGAAAAATCGACACATTGAAAAGTTGAGAAATAGAGAAATGGGAAAATCAAAAAATGAATTAATCGAGCAATTTAGAAATAGAAAAATAAAATTCAAAAACGTCAAAAATTGAAATATTGAAAAATCGAAAAATTTAGAAATCGTAAAATTAAGAAATCGAAAAATCGAGAATCAAGAGATTGAAAAATCAAAAAATTGTAATATCGAAAAATTGAAAATCGGGAAATGGAAAAATTGAAAAATCAAAACCTGAAAATCGAAAAATTGGAAAATTCAATATCAAACATCAATCAAGAAATTGAGAAATCCAAAAATTGAAAATTAATTAACGTCAATAATAGTTGATCTACATAATTTAAAAAGCGAAAAATTGAAAAATCATAAAACTGAAACATCAGAAAACTAAGAAACTGAAAAATGAAAAACAACAAAACCTGAATATCGAAAAATTGAAGAACCGAAAAACTGGAAAACTGCGAAATCGAAAAATTGAAAAACGAGAAATCGAACTGACAAATCAAATTTGAACAATCAAAAATCTGAAAAATTGAAAAATTGAATCATCCAAAAATTGAAGAATTGGAACATTGAAAAATCGAAACACTGAAAAGTCGAGAAATCAAAAACTTGATAAATCCAGAACTTCAAAAATCGAAAAATTGAAAAATCGCCAAAATGAAACACCGGAAGATTGAGAAATCGATAAATTAAGAAATCGAGTAATCGAAAATTTTAAGAATCGAAGGATTGAAAAATTCCTGAAATATCGCAAAACTGAGTACATAATCGAAAAAACGAAAATCGAGAAATTGAAAAATTGAAAAATCCAAGTCGAAAAATTGAAAAAACAAAAACCTGAAAATCGAAGAATTGAAAAAATCGAAAAATTGCAAAATCGAAACATTCAAAAGTTGAGAAATCTAAAAGTAAAATTTAGAAAAGTTAAAAATTGAAATATTGAAAAAGTGAATAATTTAAAAATTGGAAAATCGAGAAATCGAAAAGTCGAAAAACTGAAAAATCGAAAAATTGCAAAATGATGAAAATCAAAAAATCGATTAACCGAGAAATTTAAAAATCGAAAAATTGAACAGTCGAAAAATTAAAAAAGCATGAAACTGAAACATGGGAAAATTCAAAAATCGAAAAAATTGGAAAATCGAGAAATCGAAAAATCGAAAATCAAAGTCCTAAAAAAGCGAAACATTGAGGAATTGAAAAGTCCAGAAATAGAGATATAAGAAAATCAAAAAACCGATCAATCGACGAATTTAAAAATCGAAAAGTTGAAGAGTCGAAAAATTGAAAAATTGTAAAACTGTAAAACTGAAACATCGGAAAATTGAGAAATAAAAAAATTAAGAAATCGAACTCGAACTCGAAAATTTGAAGAATCGACAGATTGAAGAATCAAAAAATTGAAAAAGCCCAATACTGAAGTATCGAAAAATTGAGTAGATAATTGAAAAATTGAAAAATTAAGCACTTGAAAATTGAAAAATTGAAAAATCAAGAAATTCAGACATCAATCGACAGATTGACAAATCCAAAAATTTAAAACTAAATCATGAGAAAACTAAGAAACCGAAAAATGAAAAAAACAAGAAATCGAAAATTTGAAGAATTAAAAAATTGAAAAATCGAAATATTGAAAAATCAAGAAATCGAAAAATAAGAAAATCAAAAAATCGATCAATCGAGAAATTGAAGAGTCGAAAAATTGAAAGCTCGTCAAATTGAAACATCGGAAAATTAAGAAATTGAAAAATTAAGAAATCGAGGAATCGAAAATTTGAAGAATCGAGAGATTGAAGAATCAAACATCCATTGAAAAATTGTGA